ATCTTAAATAGAGTAAAGGCCATTGTGAGGAAGGAAGCAGTGCGCTCTACCTATAGTGAATTATGCTGGGGGCGCGTGGCGCCCTACTCAACACCAGTCAATTTTTTATTCTAATTCTATAATAATAATTCTAGAGTTGATCTTTCTTGTCTGTCCTTCTCTCACTGTTCATTGTGATGCGATCTCATTCAGTGCTTCCCCCCTCAAGTCCTTAAGCATGTATGCACCAAATGCACACAAAAGAACATATTCGTTACCTGCAGTGCTGTGGGCCGACTGGTGGTTGCTCAAAATTTGTACGCTTACCGATTTAGGGTTTTTAGTTTCCACTGACTGGTATTGACTTATGGTATTGATTTCGTATGCTAATTGTAAAGGTTTTGAACAGTCCTGAGTATGATGGTAATTGATTCTGCATGCTTGTTATAGATTATGCACCGCTTCCCGTATTTCACACGCACAAATTACTAGTACTATATATATTTCTTGAATGTATGGACAACTTAAAATCTAGTCATAAAAGGCAGATTCTGAATTTATATTTGGAATCAGTGGGTTAAAATACATACAGCACATGTTTTACTTTCAGTAGCAAAATAGTTGTTGACCAATGCTATAAGCCAACCTAACTTTTCCATCGTTGACATGCATTGGTATTTTTTGAAATTTTTTATTTGCAATATCCCTATTTTGAATGCATTGGGACAATACGGAATAAACTACCTTTCAATCGATACAAAGGTTTATAATTTTAATATTTTGAAATTGTTCTCGATAGGTATCAAACATTGGTACTCTTTTTGATCTTACATTTCATGATATAATGAGATCAACCTTAACAGTAGGGTTTAATAATTAATTGTATTTACTATAATGGCATCATTCTTTTTTTTTTTTTTTTTAAGAATTTTTTTAAAAACAGTTTAATTTTAAAGGTAATAGATTCCATGAAAGTTGATTTTTTTTTTTTTTTTTTTTTTTTTTTTTTTTTTTTTTTTTTTTTTTTTTAAGAATTGTTATAAAAACAGTCTAATTTTAAAGGTAATAGACTCCATGAAAGTTGAGCTTGATAAAATGAGCACTAACAAAAACTGATTTTGTTTTTTTTAAATTGAGACGTTAAGGGGCGCAAAAAAAATAGTGCACATTTCATCAATTATTATTAAGATGGAATTGTTTGTATTTTCTTTAAACTTGTTACTTTTGTGACACAGTTTCCCGAATAACAGGTTCCTTGGGAATTTTAAAACTTTTACATCATTTAGTTCCAAGCAGTTTTTCTGTTTTAGAAAGCTGAAAAACTGAGTTTGTAAATTAGTATTTCAAATTATAATGCTCATTCCATCTTTTTTTTGTGTGTTTCTAGTTTTTGAAAAATCTTCATTGGAATCAGTGGGTTAAAATACATATACAGCACATGTTTTACTTTCAGTAGCAAAATAGTTGTTGACCAATGCTATAAGCCAACCCTAACTTTTCCATCGTTGACATGCGTTGGCATTTTTTGAAATTTCAGTATTCAATTTTAAAATAAATTCTAGGAATTTGGATACAAAATTTGTTAAAAGTAGATTAAAGAGGTCATGTGTAATTTATCTGAAGCAAGCTATACTTGTTTTAAATTCCTAATTAACTTTTTTATCTATTAAATGTAGGGAAATTGTTACTTCTTGGATTTGCTTCAGATAAATTCACATTAATAAATATATGTTACTTTTTGTAAATTTCTCATGTTTGCTTAATATAATTATGTAATTTATTTACGATTTAAAAAATGGCAGATTCTTATATAAGCCTAGGCCTAGACATTTCAGACCAAACATTTATTTTTCTCTCTTCTTGACTCTTCATTTACATCCAACATGTAAATCGATGTTAATAGTGCCGTTTGGACCGACCGGTAGTTAAAATAATAATAAATTAGTTTATAATATTTTTTTTTAATTACTATTTTGAAACAACTAACAAATTATTTTTATAAACAAAACCAGGTCGCTTGACCCTTCGAGGACCCTTGCCGTTGACACTTTTGGTGTTTTTTTCTCCAGCAATCAAAGTTGTTATTTTAAAAAAAACTGAACGTACAAACTTTGAGCCTCTTAGTCTTAAATATCAGAAGCATCCTTGCTTGCAGGGCCCACGCGACAGCTCGGTGGTCAAGGGACAATTACATTCCCCCCCCCCTTCCAATGTCTGACTGAGTGTAGAATTCTGTTAAACTAAATTCGGGTATGTGCCAAAATACACTCCTGCAACAATTTGAATTTATATTTTTAAAGAGGCCCCGGACCCTCTCCCCTCACTTTCATCAGCGCCTTCCAAATTTTTGCCAATATATTATATAGATTATATACCGAGTAGGCCTATATATAGTTGGAGTATATCCATTCCAAGGGTGAAACCAAGCTGGGCCGAGAAGCGTACACGCAAGGAATGAACTTATTTTAACTTGGCCTAGGCGGGGGTGGGCTGGGGGGGGGGATCTGAACTGGCCTGATCACCATTGTGGCTAATTTTGGCAATGGCAGATACACTTGCCACCCGAAGAACTGAAATCACCCCCCCCCCCTTTTTTTTTCCAAACCAAATTGTCTGGATGAAACACCGAGCGTCACCCTACAAATCTTGCAGAAAATCCCTCCATGGTTCCATGATTGATGATGTGAGCAGTCTTGGTAATGTCTCCATGGTTCCATGATTGATGATGTGAGCAGTCTTGGTAATGCCTCCATGGTTCCATGATTGATGATGTGAGCAGTCTTGGTAATGCCTCCATGGTTCCATGATTGATGATGTGAGCAGTCTTGGTAATGCCTCCATGGTTCCATGATTGATGATGTGAGCAGTCTTGGTAATGCCTCCATGGTTCCATGATTGATGATGTGAGCAGTCTTGGTAATGCCTCCATGGTTCCATGATTGATGATGTGAGCAGTCTTGGTAATGCCTCCATGGTTCCATGATTGATGATGTGAGCAGTCTTGGTAATGCCTCCATGGTTCCATGATTGATGATGTGAGCAGTCTTGGTAATGCCTCCATGGTTCCATGATTGATGATGTGAGCAGTCTTGGTAATGCCTCCATGGTTCCATGATTGATGATGTGAGCAGTCTTGGTAATGCCTCCATGGTTCCATGATTGATGATGTGAGCAGTCTTGGTAATGCCTCCATGGTTCCATGATTGATGATGTGAGCAGTCTTGGTAATGCCTCCATGGTTCCATGATTGATGATGTGAGCAGTCTTGGTAATGCCTCCATGGTTCCATGATTGATGATGTGAGCAGTCTTGGTAATGCCTCCATGGTTCCATGATTGATGATGTGAGCAGTCTTGGTAATGCCTCCATGGTTCCATGATTGATGATGTGAGCAGTCTTGGTAATGCCTCCATGGTTCCATGATTGATGATGTGAGCAGTCTTGGTAATGCCTCCATGGTTCCATGATTGATGATGTGAGCAGTCTTGGTAATGCCTCCATGGTTCCATGATTGATGATGTGAGCAGTCTTGGTAATGTCTCCATGGTTCCATGATTGATGATGTGAGCAGTCTTGGCAATGCCTCCATGGTTCCATGATTGATGATGTGAGCAGTCTTGGTAATGCCTCCATGGTTCCATGATTGATGATGTGAGCAGTCTTGGAAATGTCTCCATGGTTCCATGATTGATGATGTGAGCAGTCTTGGTCAAGATTAAAAAGACTGTTGTACAAAACTACCTGTAATTGCCCGGAGGATAAGTTGTTTGCTCGGCTCCGATGATAAGCTGGTGTCGCCATGATAATGGTTTACTAACTAACTCTTATAGGAGAGTACAAACAGACGATCTCTGTCAAATAGATTGAGGTGTGTCTTGTTCACATGTCACTTATCTCACTAATAATACTTATTGTTTTCAGAAATATGCCATTTTGCATTAAGTGTAGCCTCCTAGGGCCGGTAGTGCGCATTGGTGTTTTGATACAAACAGTATCCACCGTCACATTCTTCTTAGTGGTAGTTGTTGTCTCTCGGATGTCTCGGTGTTGGCCCTCAGTGTCAGTGGCTTGGGATCTTTCCTGTACACGGGGGCCGTCCATAAAGTAGGCTACGTCACGCTCCAGGTTGGGAGGGAGGGGCGGTTGGGTGGGTGGGTGTGTAAAAGGGGGGGGGAGGGAGGGGTCCTAAGAAAGAATCTAAAAGTGTCAACGGCGTTTAACTTTATGTTAAGATGGGTGTATTCTGACAGATGGTGTCTCTCAGTAGTGTATAGTCATTATAATGCTCTACGTGGGGTTTTAATACTGTGATAGTTTTGTGAAGTTAATATATTATAGTGAAGTGCGTTCAGGTGAAATTTTAATGAGTTGTTAATTATGTTACCATTTTTTATTTCTAAAGTGTGAAGTAGACTTCATAGTTTGGGGGGGGGGGGGGGATTTGTTACAGGTGGTGATGGGAAGGGGAAATAAAGGTCAAAAATAGGGTGACATACTTGATGGACTTCCTCCTCCTCCCCCCCCCCTGGGGGGGGGGGGGGATTTGTTGCGGGTGGTGATGGGAAGGGGAAATAAACGTCAACAATAGCGTGACATACTTGATGGACTTCCTCCTCCTCCCCCCCCCCTCACCACACCGGCATCCCCTTACCAGAGACGATGCTGCCGTTGTGCTGGCAACTAGGATCGATAACTCTGCCTTGCTGCCCTCACAGAACTCCCTCTCCTCCAGTAACTCTGTTGCATCTCGCCTGGCGCGCGCGCTGACAGAGATCGGTGCCAGGGTGACGCGTTGTTTTTTTGAACGTGATGGCTTTCATCTGACACCATGGGTCGTCTGCCATTTATCCAAACAGAGCAGATGACTATGTCAATTTTGAATTTTCAGTAGTGACTGTTCATTATCAAAAAATATTGATAATATGCGATCAAAACAGTCATCAATCAATATCAATAGCAGTATCTGGAAATAGTTGAATATTGTGCCCCGTCTGTCAACCGATGCGTCAAGGTCGGACCGAATTTGTAAGAAGTACCGGGCGCTGTGGTGTTGTGTTCAGGGAGTTGGGCGCTGTGGTGTTGTGTTCAGGGAGTTTTGTGCTTGAGTATGCGTCCGTTAAATTTGGAGCGTGCTCAGATTGGACATTAAAAAAAAAAACTCTCTCTGTATTCTTTCATTATGACGCCCGGGTTTCCTCTTTCAAGTAAGCATATTATTTCGTTAGTAATTCATGTTTAAGGACCCAGGGGTTGGGAATACGGTACTTCATATGATTCGCATTGTTCCTTCTGTAAATATGTCACAGGCCTGCTATCAAACTATTAATATCCCGTTGCATTGTTCCATCCAGCCAGCGTCGGCTAATACTTTTGACCGTGGAAGGAACTTGTGGAAAAAGCTATGGGGACGCTTGACATATAAAGAGAGTTCAATAAAAAGAGGAGCCTTCCACGGCAGACGGGACAATAATAACTTCCGGCAATAACCTTCATGGCGAAGACTTAAGTTTTTGAACCACTTTCTACTTCTTGTTGTTTCTTCAGCGGTCCTGTCTGCCGTGGAAGGCCCTTGGCCGAAACTTTCTTCTTTTATTGTCATTTCTGTATATTTCAAGCTTCCACACACCGTGTTACACTATTTCCTTCACATAGCTTGAACGCAGTCCTTCATTTAGTATGACCATGGTCATGGGAGCAATCTCCGTCTTCATTGTGTTCCCAGCTAATATCATTAATACCTGCTGTATATGACCATGGGAGCAATGACCGTCTTCATTGTGTTCCCAACTCATATCATGTATACCTGCTGTATATGACCCTGGCCAATATCAAGTATACTTCTCCATTGGCGTCATCGTGGGTATTCACCCATGCTCCCTGCCAGTTACGCTCATAAAATTGAACATCTTTTCTTAACTCTTATATATAGCATTTCATTCTTTCTACACTTGATGACATCACATGCTCTAACTACTATTTGCACATTCACGAATTGCTAAGCGTTGGCGTAGCTAACGCCCCGACATGTCACTAAAGTGTTTGTGTGTGTGTGTGTGGGGGGGGGGGCACCTTTACTTAATTATTTACTAGTTGTTGTTAATGATTGATTTAAGGCCAGGTTCGTTGTGTTTAGATATACCAGAAATGGAAACAAGTTCAGGGCAATGTTTCGCTGTTCTAACCCACGCCAATAACACCCCATTCCCCCTCCCCCCAAAAATGCTACCAGGTTGGTTTGGTTTCCTCAGACTGTTTTTGAATGGTTACCTTTTCCACGTAAGCAGTTGTGTAGGAAAAGGAGGGGGGGGGGCTTGGCCCGCCCCTGGGGGTACCAACCCAACCCTAGCTTCGCCACTGAATCTCCGTTTTCATTGACCATGCATGATATCGGCCTTTAGTCGTGGATGACCAAAACATGCATTAGTATCTTTTAACATAAGTTCATTTCAGGGGTACAGTACGCGAACTGTAACCATGTTAGCACACGTGCTGTTAAAGGAAAGGGAAGGAAAGGCAATAAAATATCCAGTTGGAGTCTATCAGTATCAGCTTCAAATGCAAAGTAGGGACACGTCTTAGAGTATCCAATTATTTCTACAGCTCAGTGGTTCGTGTGCTAAAACTAGCATGTTCTCATAGGTCGGTGGGTGGGTGGTGGTCATAGGGTTGCAGTGCAGGCGGAACATGTCATGTTTATAACTTGCTACGTCATGTTTATAACCGTTGCTACGTCATGTTTAAAAACAGTTGCAACGTCATGTTTATAACAGTTGCTACGTCATGTTTATAACAGTTGCTACATCATGTTTACAACAGTTTCTATGTCATGTTTATAACAGTTGCTATGTCATGTTTATAACAGTTGCTATGTCATGTTTATAACAGTTGCTACGTCATGTATATAACAGTGGCTATGTCATGTTTATAACAGTTGCTATGTCATGTTTATAACAGTTGCTATGTCATGTTTTAAATAATAATTCGTTTTAGCAGCAATGTCGTACTGGATAAATTAATTATTTGCTGGGGGGGGGATGTCTTTGTGTGTGCATACGATTTCATGATAGTTTGTCGATTCTAAACACTGAATTATTGAACAGGGAATAAATTGTTTATTAATTGATACCGTATCTGTTGGTGTCTTTTCCCTGTGCACACCAGACAAGCCATAGTTTTTGTGACACGTATCTGTTGGTGTATTTTCCCTGTGCACACCAGACAAGCCATAGTTTTTGTGACACGTATCTGTTGGTGTCTTTTCCCTGTGCACACCAGACAAGCCATAGTTTTTGTGACACGTATCTGTTGGTGTCTTTTCCCTGTGCACACCAGACAAGCCATAGTTTTTGTGACACGTATCTGTTGGTGTCTTTTCCCTGTGCACACCAGACAAGCCATAGTTTTTGTGACACGTATCTGTTGGTGTCTTTTCCCTGTGCACACCAGACAAGCCATAGTTTTTGTGACACGTATCTGTTGGTGTCTTTTCCCTGTGCACACCAGACAAGCCATAGTTTTTGTGACACGTTTGACTTTTCACTTTTGTGTGTAAAGGTTTTTATGTTTTGTTGAGGCTTTTTGAGAGAGGTATTGATTGTGCAGGAGGTCATGGATGCTTGAATCTAATCATACAGTTGTCTGTTTTTGGTGGTCATTGCCTCTCATTTTCAGTCCAATACAATTGTAACAAATCTTTCAAACATTATATATCCAGTTTTTAGCTGTTGCGCTATTTAGTACACATTGAGTTGGAGGCTAATATCCTTCATATATTTTGTGCTCATATTTTACAGTTAAGGCCATCGTCTTGCTTTGCACTTATTAAAATTTAGTTTTAGAGGGAATATATTTAAATAAGAAAATTACTGTTTAAAACTTTCATAGCACGCTTTGACAAATTTAAACACAACCACAAATTTGGTTCTTGGTCAGTTTAGCACACATAATATTGACTTTAACAGTATAAAAATGCAGTCTGGGGCATTCACTTGGCAATCATTTAAAATAGAAAGTACTCTCTAATTTTTGGGATCCTTCTTGGTGGTGAGATGATGATGTAGCTTCTGCATTATTGGAACTTTCTTGAGTAACTTATTAGGCTTGATCCTGGAATGACAGTCTCGGCTGCTGGTTGACTTTGGCCTTCTTTAATGTTCTTTTTGTTTCAAGTGCTTTGTTTCACGCATCATCTATCTGTTTGCTTTCCAATCGTTACTAATAAATATGCTCTTTTGGTTTTCAGAAAAAGGGATGGGGGGGGGGGGGAAGTGTGTAATTTAGAAATTCTTTTCGGTGCCTCTTACAATTTAAATAAAAAAAATATGTGAATCAGTTTAAATAACCCTGTTTTGTTTTTATTTGTGTTACTAATAAATATGCTCTTTTGGTTTTCAGAAAAAGGGATGGGGGGGGGGGAAGTGTGTAATCTAGCAATTCCTTTCGCTGCCTCTTACATATTAAATAAATAAAATATGTGAATCAGTTTAAATGACCCTGGTTTGTTTTTATCTGGCTCTGATCATTTATATTTAACAGAAATATAATGACTTACATGCTAGCCAATTATTTCATTTTATTTGCAGAAATAACATCTGACTAAAGTATTGAGTGCATTCCGTGCACACTGAGAGCTAAAAAGGCCTCTGGGTCCATCTTACAACAATGTCTTACGTGACGACAGAAAACAGCGTTAAAGGAGCAACTAATGAGACAGCCAATTGCCAGGAAGTTGCTCGTTTTGGAAACTCCACTCATGTCTTCTTATATGACAAATATAATGGCATACCAGACACACTCATCATTAATGTTGTTGTCTTTGTGGTAAGCCAGTGCAACATACAAATACCGTATCTGTTATTCAACTGTTAGCATATTTAATATAGTTTTCTGTGTTTGATGAGGTCAACTGATTTTGAGTAGCCACCACTTCATTTTATTGGGGCTTTATGTCAGAAATCTTTAATTGGAATAGTGATAACATAGCAAAATATTTCTGAAAATTTAAACTACGTCTGACTGCATTCTTAAGAAAACAAAACAAAATTATATTTTATCTCATGAAATATCCAATCATTTATTTTTTAAAATAAATTTCTATAATTTTCTGCATCAAATTATTCTGCTTTGCCTTTAATTTTACTTTTTGCATATTTTATTCTCAGGAATAACTTTAATTTTTTAATTTTTGTTAGTGGTTTTTTTATCCTATTTCATTCCTTTTTTTAAAAAAAATGTTTACCTCTGCTTATTTTTAACCTGCAGAATTCAAATAAGCTACACTGTCAAACCAATGTTATTGCTTATGCTGAAAGCCAAAATAATAAATTTTCCGTATATATAATTCCCATGTCTGTATCATTGGTTGATGAAAGAGTGGGGATGCCATTTTCAGACTTCAACCCTAACACAGCTTTACTCTGTGTGGTCCTGATGCTGACAGCTGTTAGATGTTTAAATTATTGCTTTGTTGCATAAACTTTAAAAACTTGAATTAATTTACAATGTGGATTTTTATTTTTTGGTATGTATTGAGTCAAGACATATTCTAGGAAATGATTGTGCATGCTTTCAACTCATGTCCACAGTGTCTTTTGTTGTTGTTTACAATACTGAGGAAGATTGCTTGGGATTATGGGCGGCTTGCTCTGGTCAACAGGACGGAAGAGAAGTAAGTACAGCAAACCTAGATGTCTCTCTTCACTTATTGATTGTCTCACCTTTGTCTTTTAGCATGCTCTCACTATTGTGCTTCATCAAAATAATCTCTGATGTTCATAAAATATATAAGAATGAGTAATAAATTCATGATCAAGAATATAAAATGTTAATATTTTTGTGGGTTTTTAAAAAAAATCACAAACTAGGTTGAGTTAATTCAAAATGTTTATGCCTTTCAATATTTATAGTTAACTTTTGGGTTTAGTTTCATAATAATTTTTATTAAAATGATAATGATTTATAACTCAATAGTTATGGGAGGCATATCATTTCATTTTCACACCTTTCTGTAGTAGTTTTTATTTTTTTTATTCTGCTTAAATGTTTCTAAGATTTAGATTTGTTTTTGTTTGATGTTTAGTTTTGTTGATGTTTTTAAATGTGATTTCTTCAAATGTAATTATCTGTGATTTATTTAAAATCTGATAATTTAAATGTGATTACTTTAAATGTGATCACATGTGTAATGAAAATGTGTCCACAGAATGTGTATGTAAAGCATCTGGATATTCCTTTTTTTTAAAGCTTAAGTTGTTGGTGGATTTTATACTCAGGATTTATGCCTCGCTTAGTAATCATGAGTAGTCGTCTGAAAATAATTCAAAAAGGAGATGCGTTTTTTTTTAAAGCTTAAGTTGTTGGTGGATTTTATACTCAGGATTTATGCCTCCCTTAGTAATCATGAGTAGTCGTCTGAAAATAATTCAAAAAGGAGATGCGTTTTTTTTAAAAAGTTGTAGCACAAGTACCAATGCATTTTTTTAATCCTTAAAGTGATGGAATACCTTTGGTAATTAAGAGACCCGCTGTGTAAGTATACTGGTACAAGGAAACATTCACTTTCCCACAGTTCATATTATTCAATTTTGATTGTTAAAATATTTCGTTTTCCCTCTTAGATTCACACTTTGTTTTTCTTCACTACTGTTCATCAGTGCACCATCAAATGGATAATTGATTACTCTTGCTTTAAATTGTTCTGTTTGGTCTTTACAAAATTGAAGAGCACTTTAAATTGTGTTTATCTCAATTTATTCGAAGTGGTATCCAGTGCCTCTAATGTTCATAATGATATTAGTGTTTCATACAGCTAGATACTATTTTTTTAGCCTACTCGGAAAATGTTACCATAATTTTAAAAACAGTATTATCTCAGAAAAAAAAAAAAAAAATTTAAATCTTAGAAGTTTATTTAAGGTTTATCTTTCAAGTGCTTGATGTTAAATCTTTGTTTTTAAATACAAAAGAGAATCTTAAAACTTATTTACAGAAATTAGTTTAAAAAAAAAAAAAAATTGTTTCATACAGCTAGATACTATTTTTTTAGCCTACTCGGAAAATGTTACCATAATTTTAAAAACAGTATTATCTCAGAAAAAAAAAAAAAAATTTAAATCTTAGAAGTTTATTTAAGGTTTATCTTTCAAGTGCTTGATGTTAAATCTTTGTTCTTAAATACAAGAGAGAATCTTAAAACTTATTTACAGAAATTAGTTTAAAAAAAAAAAAAAACACTTTTCGAACATGAATTTTTTTAAAAAATGTAAAATAAATGACTTATTGCATTGTGCAAAGGTGTATTTTTACTCCTCTGAATGTGTCACAGAAAAACACACCAGCCACATTTTATATTTCATTCATTATTGCTCCATTTTTTGGTAAATGATATATAAAAGTACTTTTAAAATATAAAATGGTCAAAACTCTTTTAAAAAAACTGTGGATAATAACAGAGAGAAAAAAATGAACCTTATTCTTATTTATAGAGTCGTCATCATATGGAAAGGTTGTTTAGGAAAGGCTAATATGTAAGTCCCAGTTCGGCTCAAGAATTTGATTCTGGCTAAGCAAAAAGCATTGCCTTAATTTGTGGATTTCATTTGCTTTTAAAATAACTAGGACTTTAAATTAAATTTGATTAATTAATTTCAAACATTAATGCAACTAGAAACTTAATGGTTTTTGAGCAGTTTCTGTCTTTGAAAACTTTTAAAGTATGCAGTATTTCAGATTCACAAAGAATATCTTAAAACTAAAGAGTATTTAGCTTTGAAAGGATAATGTTTTTTGCTAAAGTTTTTTTCTTTTATTTATGCGTTACTTTCAAGCTTCTTTTGGCTTACATTTTTCATCAATTAAGTTTTTGAGCAAGGAAAATTTTGTAGCCATTTCTCTATACTTAAAATTAAATTTTTTTAAAAATTCTCATGAAGCCCAATCTATAGGAAATGTTTTATAAAATGTTTTTAAATGTTTTGGTTAATAATTTAACATTTCTCCTTTCAAAAAAATATTAAGAGATTAAAAAAAAATTAATTTTCAATTGAGCCAATAGTCAAAATAGTTTCTAAAATGACATTAATAACTTGAAGTATCATTTTCGTTCTGAACCATTCTATATTTTTATATTGTAAATTCTTGTTTTCATAAGTTCTTTTTTGTATTGTTAAAAAATTAAACGTTTTTGTTGCTCTGGATGTCTTGTGATTTAAAAAAAAAAAATTATTGCATTTTTTTTTTTTCAAATTAATTTGTGAATTTCTTTAATGTCACTTTTACACAAACAAATTTCTTTTCAGAGCAGGGATAAAAAATGGCAGATCCAAATACAATGTGTAGGTTAAATTTGAACCAGCATTCTTTAACAGCAAAGGTGTGGGGCTTGCATGTATAGCTTTCAGACCTGCCTTAACATTAGCATCAGCCCAGCTTTCTGTCATGAGAAATTTGTACCCTTGGGATGTGAAGTTTCTGCTTATATTGCTTTGACTGAAAATATATATACATAACTGTAAATGTTATAATGCTAGTAGTACTTTTTTTCTTTGTCTCAGCTCACTAAAATGATAATTTCACACCTGATTATGTTTGTACGTTAATCTAACACTATGTTATAATTCAAATGATATGAAGATACTGCCAGTATTATGTATTTCTCTAATCCTTTATTCATCACCCTTTTATCATGTTATGGTCATATTGCATAACCTTATTAAGTAGAAAGCAGCAGTCTCAGTGTTTAAACTATGTATGTATTAAATAGTTTTTAAACTGACAACTTTTTACATTTAATAAAAAATTAAAGCTCCATAATTCAGTCTGCATTTATTATTATCTCTTTCTTGGAACTTGTAGTTTAAGCTAGTAAAGCTCTGTGCAGCTGAGCAACATTTTCTTTGTCATAACTACTGGCATGGTACCCAGGGCAAATACTTTCATTTGGGTCTTATTTCTTTTTCTATTGTTTCATATATTTGTAGATAAAGGGGCAAATGCCTTTTTTTGTTTTGTTCAAGTTTAAATTGAAGGAATCTAGACATAAACGAAATTAAACTTAAAATAATTGTATTATTTATTGTCACAACCTAGGTTAGGCAATGTTATACTTATTTATAACTGAGACAAGTTTAATTAATAGTTTCAACCACTGTAGTCATGCTGTCATAAACCATAGTCTTTGTCATAAAACACGGATGGATTTTTTTTTTACTTTAAATTTATTCAATTAAGAAAAGAGTGTTTTTTATCTCTGCCATCCAACACAAAAGGTACGGTAGCTAAACAGAGTTTGAGAGCATCTTTTGTAAGCATGAAATTTTCAGGTAGATCGTAAATATTGGTGAACAAAACACTTATCATACACACTAATACTACTAATGGGGAATGGGCTGGATGTATTTTATTAAAACATGTAAAAATACTTTCGTTGTCAATTATCTATAACGACGCAACACCCCCCCCCCCCCACCCCCCCTTTTTTTTTTTCCAACACACACACATTTTATTGGAGGATTCCAGATAAAATATAATTAAATTTCCATTGCATATGATGAAAAAATAAAGGGATAAAAAGAAAGGGGCAGTTAGGATAATCAATATTTTGGATAATCAGCGCTCTACTGTAAGTTTGCGTATATATATATATATATTATATAATAAATAAATATATGCATGTGTGTTTATAATTCCCAACAACAATCTTTTTCCTTCAGTAGTTTTATCGCCATTTAATTTGACTCTCCGCCTGCATCTAGTTGGCAGCAGTCAACCTATGACATTCTCACAGCTGCAATACAGTATTTCTGTTCTTTAATGACATAAGCCTGATTTATATAGCAGCAACAGATTTGTTTAGAGTTGACCCTTACATTTGTTGGCTCTTTGTCGAGATCATAACACTGTGTACCACTGGACCGAGAGGTGTCTGGCTCAGAATTTGTCCCGTGTCGTCCTGGGCTGTGGCCAACTAGAATGGGAGGATTTAAACCCTGAGAAAAAACATCAATGGTAAAAGACAGCAGCTGAATTGGGCATGGGTTCAAAGAGTAAATGTTTACGGGAAAAATAGCCATTGTCAGACCACATAAGCTGCTGAAGTAAATACAGTTTTTAGAATGAGTTAATTCGAAATCAAATAAAATTTATTATTTCTCTTGAGGTCTTCCTTCACCCATAACAATTCCAGCCGCCACCTTCATACCAGCAACACATATCCATTACACCCCTACCTTTCATAGCAGCAACTTAATATCCATCCCAGCCCCCACCTTCATACCAGCAACACACATCCATTACACCCCTACCTTTCATACCAGCAACTCAATATCCATTCCAGCCCTAACCTTCATACCAGCAACTCATATCCATTCCAGCCCTCACCTTCATCCAAGGAAACAAACAAATATTCACTTAACAAGTTTTTTACTGTTTACCAACCTGATCCACAGCATGGTCACTAGGAAATAGAATAGAATAAAATAGAATAGAATAGAATTTCTGTCATTTAGAAATTAAAAATATTAAGCCTTGATTATCAAACAATTATTACCAATGTTTTTTATGTCAATTATAATTACTCTGGAAAGCATCACAAATGTTACTTAGTGAAGTATTACATTTCTATAGCATCACAATTTTTACTTAGCGAAGTATTACATTTCTATAGTGTGTGTATGATTAAGGTCAAAGCTCAGATATCAGATTAATTAAATTAAACACATGCATGGCTACTGATGTGATTGTTTGAAACATGAGTACAGTCAGAGTGTCTGTGTTACAGTAGACACATCAATGTGCCTTATTTTTATATAACAGATGGACCTCTTTATTTTTTGGCGATCGTGATCGGAGGTCACTCCACGGATCACAGGAGTCACTGGATACTGCTGTAACATCTCAAGACAAGGTGAGTTATGTTTCTTAATGAGATAGCTGTAAAAAAAATTTGCTAATTAAATATTCACATCATTAATGAATCGGCGAGGTTCGTTGACTTATGATTGCTTCCTTTTTAAAAGTTATACTTGCCAGGTATAAGAGCTAATTCTGTTTATCATCCTCCAGGGTATGTTCAGATGGATTGTTGCATTCTGGCGACTCAGGTAATTCTTTACCTTCATTTATATTAATATATTATTTTTTTGGGCTCATAAATTAATGCTCCCAAGACACTAAATGTATACCAATATAATAAACTACAGTGCTACAAGAAGGACTAAATATATGTATGTAGCAGATGAAGCATATTTTAAAAATAGTTGTAAATGTAATTTTTAAAAATCATGGAATAAAGTTTTTATAGTTACCGTGGGATTTAATTGATGTTGATTCAAGTTTGTGACATCTGACAGCACCAGGACTGATCAAATATATAAAGATTTTGATATCAAGGAGTTTTTAATGTGTGATTTTGCTTTGAACCGATAATCTTGTGTTTCGTCGTGAGTAGTTAAATGGATTTTTGGACATCCTTAGGCATACACCAATATATTTTATCTTATCTTTAAAATCTATTCCATATAATTAATTGTTGCATTTCTGTTTTATCTATATGCATGTCGTGTCTATAGGCCCTCTAAATATAATTTTAATGTATTTTTATCTGTTGACACTCTGGATGATTCAGAGATGTGGACATATTAAACAAATGTGGAAAAGATGCCATCCAGTACCTGTCCTTCCAGCGCTACCTGCTGGTGTACCTGTGCATCATCACAGTCTTGTCCGTGGGCGTTATACTGCCCATCAACTTCCAAGGATCTCTTTGTGAGTTAACTCAACATCTGCTCTTCCTCACAAATAGATTAGATTTTTTTTTTTACAAGGGAAGTCAGGTTTATTTCAAGGACACAAAGGTCTTGGGGGAGCACAAAACTTAAAAAAGGAAGTAGTAATAACAAAAAACAAATAGTATAAGGAAGTCTATTCTGATGAGCATTTGCCAACAGGAAAATTTCTCATTTGTAGTGGTGGGTGTGCAAATGAAAGCTGCAAGAACTTGACCAGCTTTATTGTGACATTAATAATCAATTTAACTATAAATTGTTTCAACTGAAACATTGAAGTGTTTATTTCAAATTAAGTCACTTTTTTTTACCCCAAAAATTTATTTATGGTTACTTTTGGTTTCTTTAGCTTTCACTACACATATGTCCATCTGTGTCATATGAGGTATAAATAATAAATCCTCTTTATTTCCTTTGTTAAATTTTGCACAATTAATTAAATATATAAGAGAAATAAATCATTTTTCTAGACCTTCTCAAAACTTGAAAATTTGGACTTTGCCTCTTTTGAAATTACCTCCAGCTTTGAGGAAAATTTAGGATGTATGTGTCCTAAATATAAGTATAGTTTAAGACTGTGTGGTATGATAGATGTAACAATGTGTGTCTCTTTAAGCAGTCTGTAAGACTTTTGCTATGACAATGAATTTGATTGTACTAGGTATTTTTTTAAAAACTATGAATTGCCTTTACTTGAAATTTTATTTAACTGTTGTTGTGTGGTGATGATGGTAAAATTTTGTCTGACTGTTGTTGTGTGGTGATGATGGTAAAATTTTGTCTGACTGTTGTTGTGTGGTGATGATGGTAAAATTTTGTCTGACTATTGTTGTGTTGATGATGGTAAATTTTGTTTGACTGTTGTGTGGTGATGATGGTAAAAAAAATGTTCCATTTTATTTCCAGTAGGAACATCAGCTGACTTTGGGCACACCACCATAGGAAACTTACAGCCAAAGTGAGTAGATCTGTTGTCAGTTGACGAGTGTTGGGCCTAGAAAAGAATCTAAACTATAGATAAGAAAGGTTAACATATGTTTAAACTGTGACATGTGGAGCATTTGTTTGTTTTTTTGGTTAACCTACTGGTTTTTTATAAGCACTGCAGCAACGAGAATGTTCAAAAAGTTACTTTTGAAAAGTGTGACGCTTGGAGATTACAATGGCAGACCCTGGGAGATTAAATTGTATATCTATAAATATATGTCTGCTATATGCATGGATTTTTTTTTCTTTTTGATATGACATTGATCAGCTGTAAAGTCTATTTTTCAAATAAGATCAGTTGTCAAGTGTTGTTTTTCCTCAGTGATCCCATCCTGTGGGTCCATGCTGTCATGGCCGTGGTGTATTTGATTATTGTCATTGGGGTGCTCAGCCATTTCAGACTTAACTTGGATGTAGAAGAGGATGAGCAAGTCAGTGTTTTAATTAAAGTGTTTTCATTCAAATTCTCCCCACTTCTATTTATCAAGTAATTAAAATGCTTGCTAAAAAATTTTTGTATTATCTTAATGCATTTTTTTAAAAACAAAAATTACTTAGATTATGTGGCAACCACGGTTTGTTGTGAACACATTTTTAGAGCAACTTGTTGAAAACTGTATCTTAAAATTATTAAAATCTAGTTACAGCTCCAGTTAATGTATACGTTGCGAGCTTAAAATGATCATGATTTTTTTTTTTTTTAAAGAATAGCAATGACTCAGACATGACAAAGAAATTTTTTGTTTTCACAAGTTAACCCATCAAAACTAACCCGAGTGACTCAGATACTTGTTAAATTATGTTCAGGTGAGCAGAACATTGATGGTGTCCAACCTGCCCAAACACAAATGCTTCCATAGCCCCATCCTCCAACATTTTCAGTAAGTTCTGGCTTTGTCAAGTCTACCTAATGGTGAAACAGCTGTGACTGCATCAAGTGTTCAAGTCAATACTTGTTGTTTGTAGCCATTGAATGACTCTGATGATGCATGATGTTTTGATGAATTTAGCATGTGATTAGTAATATCGGATGTGATTGACAATGTGGGATGTGCCTGGTAACCTGGGATGTGATTAGTAATGTGGGATGTGCTTGGTAACCTGGGATGTGATTAGTAATGTGGGATGTGCTTGTGATGTGATTGGTAATGTCATGTTTTCCCTTAATCCAGAGAAGCTTATCCTGAAGCTAATGTGACAGATATCCAGTTTGCCTACGACATAGCTGGTCTGGTCCTACTTGACAAACACAGGTAATTTATTGGAAGCTTGAGAACAGTCACGGAACTGAGCTAAGTTTGTATCCCTCATTAAATGAGACATCTTTTGTTTTTTCTACTCTTTAAAAAAAAGTTCAATAATTCAGTTTTTCTCTTCTGCTGTAGCAGAACTTGCTAAATGTGTTGGTACAATTGATTTCTACATTGGCTCAACACAGGTATACTCAAATCTTTCTTCGCTGAAAAATTTGAGGTATTCCATGCACTTCCCCATTCCATCCCTGTGGCACCACAGCCCATGTATGGCTTTGGCCTGCCTTACCACTTCCTTCCACTCGGACCTGACCGATGTTTTTTCTTTTCCACGCCTGGATTCCCAGCTGCTGCAGATACATTTTCGACATCGTTCACCAGGCCCGCCTTTGGGCCGTTTTCCTCTGGGGTTTCGGTGGTGCACCCTCTTCACTCCTCTGTCATTTGGCATTCTTTCTAAGTGATGCTCTTCCACTACCCTCTATGAGTATCTGAAATTCATTTTGAATTTGTTCAATGTTTCAGACATTGTTTAAGTGACACATTTATGCAGCATTTTTATCAAGTGGTTTGGCATTTGGTAGATATCATAAATAGGCTGCAATAAATAAATAAGGAAAATTTACCCATACTTTATGTAGTGCTGTCATCATGATGAACAAAACCTTTAATCAACCCATCTAAAATTTATTTGACCAAGTTTGTTACATTACCTTCCTTTGATCCATGATTTTAAGGAAACGAGCTGCTGAAGCCAAATTGTACTGTGAAATGGAATACAGGAAAACTGGCCAACGTCCACTAATGAGACCTGTCATCTGTGGTCAGATTTGTTGCTGTTGTCCTCGGGTATGAAGAGTTTTCCTTGATGTAATTTGTGTGTATTTAAAAGGTTAGCATTAGCTGAAAGGACGGGTAAAATAAGATAAGATTATTTTTTTTTTATTGATCCAAATAAATGGAAATGTTAGTTTTAAAATTACATCATACATATTCATTTTCAGCACATAAATAAATACATATTTTAACAATTTAAAGACAAGACATTTAAAGTATTTCTCTAGCGTAAAGATCAGCCTTCATGACTTAAGTGAACATTTAGATCTGGTAACTGCCTGGGCAGCACTCTGGTACATTCTTACAGACTAAGGGAACAAAGTAATTTTTTATATCTTTCAGTCCCAACTTTCAGGTAAAGAATTTTGGCCTGGTTGCGTTGATCTTAGGTATCTGTGATTGAAGAGGGTGGGAGGTATCATCCAAAATTGAGTTTTTACATCATTTTTCTTAAATAGTTCTTCACGTGAAGAATGTTTCATTTCTGCGTTATTGCTAAAGACATAAACTATGGAAAAAAGTTTTTTTTTTTTTTTAACATGTTTTTTTGGTTTTGTTTTTTGTTTTTTAGACATGATAAAAAAAATATTATCCAAAATTTAGTTTTTACATTATTTTTCTTAAATAGTTTTTTACGTGAAGAATGTTTTATTTTTGCGTTTTTGCTAAAGACATAAACTATGGAAAAAAGTTTTTTTTTTTTTTTAACATGTATTTTTGGTTTTGTTTTTTGTGTTTTAGACATGATAAAAAAAAATATAGTTTTAATCTCAATGTTATCAGGTGGATGCCATCAATTTCTACCAAGCTGAGGAGGCAGAGTTGAAGAAAGCTTGTGAGGAAGAAAAAGTCACAGCTTACCAAACTCCACTGGGGATTTCTTTTATTACCCTAGGCTCAGAGTCTCAGGCTCAGCGGTGAGAATCTCACAAATTTGATGTGTACATGAAACAAACCAGCTCCATGTCACACACTTGATGTGTACATGAAACATAAACCAGCTCCTGAGTTGGCATCATTTCTTTGTATAAAAAGAAGACTTATTTTTGTGTTAAGGTTTATGACATACATAAAGGGACACAGACAGCAAACACCCTCAGCTAATGGTAGAGTTATTAGTGGTTTTAGGGGGGTAAAGGGGGCTGAGCGTTATTCCAGGTTAAGATTTTAAAATATCTTGATTGGGTGTTATAAGGATGGTGTTAGTTGGGCTTAGTCTTTGTGGACAGGCACCGGAGACGGTCCAGCACCTACTAGTCGAGTGCTCAACACTAGCGACTGGTGTGACTGGGGTGCTCCCAGCCAACCGTGTTGGGAGCCTGATTTACGGGACTGCCCAGCAGATGAGGCAGGCCTGTTCCATGCTTGCCGAGGCCATTAAAGAGCAATAGCTTGGCCCCATATAGTGAATGTAATATTTCAGTTAGGTTTGGTCAAATCTTTCAAATGCTCTATTTTATGCAACATTTATGTTGAGTATTGTATGCAACATTTATGTTGAGTATTGTATGCAACATTTATGTTGAGTAAACAGTTATTGCCACATGTAAGACAGAGATCTTAGAACAATGGCAGATGTATATTTATAAGTAGTGAATTGTGTTAGGCAAAGACAGGGTAAGGCAAAGACAGGGTAATAAGACCAAATTTTTTAAGTTTGTTTGTTGGATTTGCCTCAGATTGCCAACTTCTTACATCGGTGAGGTGGCTTTACTTTTTCAACTAATTACCAGACCATTGTCTGTTAGTTCATTATTTGATTGTTTTACCCCTCAGGATTCGAACAGATTTCCGAGCGAGTTGCAAGGGGACCCATAACCCCCAGATGTCAAGTTTGTACCAGGAACTTCAGGTTCACAACTGGATCATGCACTTTGCCCCGTCTCCTGAAAGTATTTACTGGTATGAAACTATTCATATTATTCTGAAAAATACTAATAGGCATTTACTTACATTTTACCTCTCCAGGATCATCATCTGATCTTCATAAAGAGTTATAATAACAAAAGAACAAGTTTCATGACTTTGACAGTTTAAGATGGAAGTGGGGGACTAGATTTCCCCCTTTATGTAGTATCAACACTTGCCAACTCACATGTTCCTATAGTATTAACGATGGGAAAAATCGGAAAAGGATCGAGCTTCGTGGCGTTCCTTACAACACAAAGCAGACAGTGGCTGCAGAGTACAAAACAATTGCCAGAACAGCCCTTTTTAACTCTGCACCTGGAGATTTCCCATCAATCCCCACGCACTAGATCATTTGCTTTCAGAATCGGTCTCATCAGCCATCTGCACATCCACAGCCAAGTTCACAATTATCATATATGATGTATAAGGCAGTCATGGTGGATTTCAACTGACCTACTATATATAGTATTAGACGCAGTAAAGATGATGATGAGATCAACAACAGAACTTCAAAAGCATCTGACATATTTAGAATACTACGCTGGGGTGTCCAGGAGGTCTCAGCACCAAGCAATAATAGTACTAACAGAATATACTAGAGAAGTAAACCATGTCCAAGCTTTTTGGCATACAGTGGCAGGACAAAGTCCATGATTCAGCAGTCCTACAATCAGGCTGGAATTTTGTAAGAATGCCTAAACAACTAAAGTATGGTGAACTATCGAAAGGGGAGCATTCAGTTGGAGGGCAGAAAAAACATTTCAACGCTTGCATAAAAGTGTCCCTCAAATCCTTTGGTATTGACCTGAGCTCATGGGGAAAAATTTGCTTTGTATTGAAAAACCTGAAGAGGCAGAATCTCTGACCACATTCTTCAGATAGTGAACATATTACTCAAGCTCAGAGCAAATGCACAAGTAAAAGCTAAATCACCTCCAGTAAAACTTGGACTCCATCAGGCTTTCCAGAGCTGATGTGTCCTCCAACAGGCTTTCCAGAGCGCATGTGTCCTCCATCAGGCTTACTTTCAAGCCATCTACAAATCTACAGGCGAAGTTTGCTTTGATCCTTTTTGTATGTGACGTACAAACTTAAACTTATATGCTCCAATCAACTGTAGCCTCCTAACAAAGATCGTTTAAATATGAATTTATATCAAATATATTAAGTCCTTAACCCTCTGGAGACGTAAGGGCCGATCTATCGTGAAATTCGAACATGTCTGACAGTGACTCTGATCAAACTGTGCTTAGTAATTTTGATGTTTTAGCAGTGAATTTGACACTGAAACTGATGAATACAACCAGGAAATTAATGAAGACTTTCAAATTGAGGGTAATGCTAATGTTGGAAACTCTTGGTTTAGTATTACTAGTATTAGGGGTCCTCAAATGGACAGGGATGACCCCTCTGAATTTTTAGACAACATAGGCCCATAAATAAGGCATAAGCACACCACTTGAGTACCAGTACTTTATGCTATTTTTTACACTAAATATTTATGAGAGAGACCAATAGATATGCAGACAACTTTCTCAGTAACATCAAGCTTAAGAGAAGGTCCCTAGGTCATAAATGGGGGCCTGCTACAGTGTGTCTGTAACAACTGAAAAATAGGGGGTTGGGGTGGAAAAGGAGTAGAATTATGTGCCAGATGTATCTGAAGGGCCTCCATGGGCCTTGTTTCCCAAAAACATAAGTGTTAGGACTTATTCAGGCTTCATCCATCAAAAAATTCACACAATTGATACAAGTAAGTTTTTTCTAGGTTTAAAAAAAATAATTACATGAATAAATTATGCAAATCAGGGTAGCTCATTTGCATAAATGTTGATATTTCAGTTTGATTCATAAAGATTGTATTAGTTCATTCTATTTCCTAAAAGAATATGTATAGTTTTACTTATATTAATGGGATTGTTTATTTTTTATAAATTTTTTTGCAATGCGAGTGCCGAGCTCGTAAAAAGTGCTCCGTCTTTTTGGCACAGACAGCCTGAAAAGGCTCCATCTCCAGAGAGTTAAAAATTACTTTGCAGTGTTTATACAAAATAGATTTTAAAATTTTTCTAAAAATAAATCTATGTATCTTCAAAAAATTTTTTACCATTTTTAAAAAACATGATTTGGATGTAAAAAAATTTTTTTTACAAATTCATAAGTAAAAAGAATACCCTGCTAAATATGATACTTTTTTTTTTTAAATTAATTTTTTTAGGTATTTGAACTATTTTTTTTTTAAAATTCCTTGTATTTTTTACTTTAATTTTGAAGAGACAACTATGAAGTTTTAGTTTTCAAACTTATCACACAGTATGTTTCATTGCATTTTTTTTCTACAGGGAAAATTTGTCAGTACCTGACTGGCGCTGGTGGACCACAGCCATCTGCATCAATTGTATCCTAATCATTCTTTTGTTCTTCCTGACCACACCAATCATGTTCTTGCACACCCTGGATATGCTGAATATTGATATCAAGAAACCTGTGGAAAACTTACATGTGAGCTGAATGTTGGGAATGAATCTTATCTGATAGGTCATGTTTAAGATATACTTGGTTGGTTTACAATAGAAACGTATAGCTTCCAGAAACATGTTCAATATCCAAGTTCCTATCCATTGTCATAGGGATAAATACGTTAACACTTCTGTATTGTAAGCTTATTTTTCTGTTTACATTAATCATAGATGTGCCAATCCAAAATTACAAAGGTATTCAGACTTTTTAGTTAACCCTCGAACTGTGGTATGCATCATTCTGTAGTGTGGGAGCTTTTCAGAACTTTTTGAGTGCCTTTTGAAATTGCATTAAATGACATAGAAATATTGATACAAGACCCCAATAATTATATATTTTTAGAAAGGTAAATGGATGGGGATAAAGTTGGCTATATTGCCCACCCCGTAAAAATTTTTTTGCTCAGTGTCCTTGACCTTGAGTGCTCAAGAAAAAAAAGTGCTCATGACATCATTAGTTTTTATAGATACACTTAAAACACTAATCTAAAGGTTGTAGCCAATTCTTTCGTTGTCGCAAATCTTTCAGAAAATGTATAGTTTGCTAAGGTTTTGATTAAAATTATACCCCTGAAATCAATTTTAGTAATTTTAGGTCATTTATGTAAGAAACTGGGACCACAGCAAAAACCAAGTACAAAATCTCAGACAAAATAGTTATTAATAATAATAATAATAAAGTTTATTTCAAAAACATGCTTCATCCCCAAAGGCTCAAAGCGCGGTTGACACAAAGTCAACAAAAAAAAAATCTATTATTTACCACATTTAAAACAAACGCAACACTACAAAAACTAATTACAAGCATACAATGTCAATATTGACTGTAAACATTTAAAAAGGAACTGTGGAACTGATTTGGGTTGTTTAACTATAAAATTTATTAGTTCTGATCTATAATGTGTAGCTTCTGTGACTAAAATTCAGTCAGTCCTTGCCCAACCTCTGGGCCTGGCTCGAAGTCTAACAGTAGTCCTACTTCAGGAACACTAAGACTAGTATCAGATTCACAAAAAGAAGAATCTGAAGTCAGTTGTCATGGGGAATTTTAAAATAATCATCAATATCACTTAAATTCTCTCCTGAAAAGCTTTCAAAAATATTTATGTTTGTTCTCGCACTGAAGGCCCAGCCACAGCTTCAGCCATTTTAGCTTTAAAGAAAACAGCGATATAAAATTCCGATTAAAATGTACTTATTGTTAAGTCATCAAGAAACAACTTGCCCCGGAAGTTGATTTAATTATTAATAAAATAAAAGGAAGTAGCTATGATTCTGGTTAAATATTGGATTTGAAGTTGCTATCTGACCGTGTTTTTTATCGGCCCATTTTTCTGGCGGCCACAGTTCGAGGGTTAAACTTCACTTTCTCCATCAGAATGTTCAAAGATTTGTGAAAAAAACAAAATTCAAACTATTTAAAGATACGGTCTGGTCACATCTCAAATTAATATACAACAATAAACTATCCTAACAGCTTGTTTTCTTTTAAAGTTACATTTTTGTCATCCTTTTATTTCATATAAAAATTACAGTATCCAAAATCAATTGCTCATGAACTAATTTTTTTTTTTTAAACCTGAAAGTTGCAAGTTAGTGAAAATGAATGTTCGTGTTTGATTATTTCATATTTTGGCAGTATGGAATCCTCCAGCAATGTGAATAGATATCTGTGCCCAGACAATTGCAATTAATATTCATATGCTTTGTATGCCTAATTCTATTGATGATAACCTCCATCTCCTTAGAGTGCTTACCTGGTACAGTTCTTACCAACACTTCTTCTTTGGATTTTTTCTGCACTCCTACCAAATATAGTGTATTGGTCAGATCAGGCTATTGGACACTGGACTAAGTGAGGCACTTTCTTTTAAAGACTTTTTTTCAAATTTTTATGAGTTATGAACATTATGTTACATGGGATCATTTTGATTTTTTTATTTAACTTTTTTTTTTACATGTTTCTTTATTCAGACCTTTGTCACTTTGGGGCAGCATTTTAAATTAAAATTAAAAACTGAACCATTTGTACCTAAAGTTTCTCAATTTCTTTTTTAGAACTGCTGAACACCATGCCATTATGAGGAAATCTTTCATTTTTATTTTGCTAATGATTCTTATCCTTCCATCTCTCGGACTTACGAGGTGAGTATTTCATTACTGAAGGTATTTTCATGTTAACTTTAAAATTATTGTTTAAAGTTAAATTGCATGAAGCTTTCAGATTTTAGCTCAGTTCATGGTCTAAAGTTCTAATTTTCTAAAAAATTTTATGTGGTAATTTGATGACTAATTCCCTGTTTAATAAATACTCAAAAAATTATTTCTAACTGCAGTGCTAAAGCTCTGTTTGAATGGATTGTGATGAGCTCGGAACGAAGTCTGCAGTGGCAGTGAGTATTTAATTTGAGAACCAAATAACTGACCGAATGAAAGTAAAGAAATTTTTAAAATAATAATAATAATAAATAATAATAAAAATTCATGGCTTTGTTTCATTTATACCTATTATAAGCAGATAAAAAAAAAAAAAATTGTTTTAAGTAAATTATAATCATATCATTTTCTTTGTTGGTTAATTTTTTAAAACTACCTAAAAATTTAATTGATAGATATTAACTGTGTAACCTCTTCTGATATTATTGTAAGTTGCCTGAATAATGATGATCATGACTTTAAAAGTTTTATCTTAGTTGATGAAGTAATAATTTTTCACTTGCTCCGTTCACATGAAATGATATAAAGTAAAGATTTTCACGCATCAATTATTTATTGACTGAAATACTTTACAGGATAATAAAATAATACTTTTTCTCAATTCACATATGGTGATGATTGGAATATTAATGAAATATAGTTCATAATAAATCCAGTTCTCTTTGGAAATTATTTATCTAGTCACTCATATACTACATGTCTTCACTGGTGAGAAACATCTTTTCCATGCTCTCCAATATGGCCGCTAATATAGTTCCTCACTACCTATAATTAGATATTTGTATTCCTACTCTCAGGTAGAATTGTGATTTCTACTCAGCAATAAATAACCATCAAATATCATTACGTTACAGTTTCCACATTTGTCAATTAATAAATATTTTATGGCTAAAGTGTAAAAAGTTTATGTTTTGTCTTCTCACTTAAATTTTGTGGAGGTAAAACACATTGACATCTTTATATCACAGTAATGGCATTTGACTATTTCAACATTCAGCATTGACATATGTTTTATTTCGCAGATGTATTTTTCTGCCTGGCAATGGCTCTTTCTTTGTTAACTACATAATCACATCAGCATTTATTGGCGCTGCTCTGGAGCTGCTGCGTTTCTCTGAGCTTTTTGTGTATGGGGTCAAGCTTTTATTTGCCAGATCTCTGGCAGAAAGAGCTGCTGTCAGAAAAGTAAGCTGAAGTTTTTTAACCAAGGTTGCAGAGTAGTCTACTTCTTTCAGCTGGGATCATGAAGTATTTCTGTTGCAGATATTTTTAAAAAAATAGCAAATGAGGGTTTTTTTAACAACAAACTTTTCAATTTAAATATCTTTGAGTCCAAAACTTCATACTCAAATTCATTACACTAAAAAAAAAAAGTAAAGTGCTGGATACGTGACCCCATTGCTTACAGTGGTAATAAAAAAGATTAATGGTTTTTGTATTATATTTGTAAATATCAAAGCAATTAAAAATAATTTTGCAATATATATATATATACGGTAATATAATATTTTAGAATGACTTAAAATTTTTACTCCAAAAATTATCCCGATTGGCATGATCCAGATTTGATTGCTGTGATTATAAAATTTTCAATAGTTGTGTTTTTAACAATTTTATTTTTAAAAATGTTGTCTTTTTTTAAGTTGACAAAGGATTAATTAACCGGTAGTTAGTTTGAAGAGAACTTTAATTTTTAACGATAATTCTATCAAATAAAACAATAGCATTATAGATATTATATTCAACTGAGAACAATAAAAGAAATGATGGATAAAATCCATGAAAAGGATCATATAAGAAAAAAACAAATATAGAGTTTGCAAGATCTAATAAAATAGGTATATTCACATAACTATTTTCAACTTTTTTTGTAGGCAGAATCCCTTGCAAATTAACCTTAGGCTATTATAAGATTTTTTCATGTTTTAATGTCATCTTGATGTCATCTTTTTCAAGTCAGCTATTTGGGACTTCCAGTATGGTATTCAGTATGCGTGGATGCTGTGTATGATGGCAATAATTGTCAGCTACAGCATACCTTGTCCCTTGGTCACACCATTCGGTATGTGCCCAGTCTGTATTAACAATGTCTGTGTATATATTTATTCCTTTTAAATTCATTTGCACTAATCCTGCAACAGGTCTTGGTGCAGTAAGTGATGGTTCCATAAAAAATATTTTGTGTTGTCTGTTTACAGGATTAATTTATTTGGCATTCAAGCACATTGTTGATCGTTACAACATCTTCTTTGCTTACAACCCATCTCGGATCAACAAGCATATTCATGGCTCAGCTGTTACCTTTGTGCTCTGGGCGGTCATCCTGCTACAATTCAACGTAGTCTTTTTTACTGGCCTCAGAGCTGGTAAGTCATTACTATTTTTTAAGTTATTGAACATATCCATTACAAAAAAATTGATCAAAGGTCATAAGAAACCTCAAAAAATATATTTCATCGGGGAACCGCGCTATATAAGACCTCTTACTCTTATTATTATTATTATTAACTCTATAAAATGTATAACTAAAACATACCATGTATACTGAATGAAATATTTAAATAGAAGCAAAATATTTGGAGTGCATGGTTGAAATTGTATTCCCCTACCTCCATTACAATCATGTAAATTTGCCCACCACAAAACTCATAACTGTTAAGTTGTGTCTTCTGATATCTTGTTTCAGAGGGCTTTGATCCTGTCTTCATCTTCTCCAGCGTGGCCTTGTTTATCACCTTAATTATTTTTGTTGGGCGCATCAGCTTCGGTTGGTTTAAACACCTCCGACCACCCAGATACAGGGTGAGCCATTCATAGCAATTACATTGAAACATACACATGTGCCACTTTGATTATGTGTGTTACTTATTGTTCACTGAATATTATTTCACAATGGGATGTCTTCATCTCTGCTAATATTGAGACATTAGATGAATCTTGAGGTTAATTTTAATCAACTAGTAATCTCCTTTTTCATTGTTTAGATCATCAGTGTCTTGTTTGAATTTTTTTTTATCAAGTGAACTATTATTTATTTTATTTTTAAAATAATATTAAAAAATTTAATGTCACTCAACTAAACTGCATGAATTGACTTGATTTTTGCTAAGTTTCATGTTACATGATTGGCTTAAATTTCCACTTTTCTTTCTTTTCTTTTTTTAGAATAACTTTGTTAACTTTCAGACAGCAAATTTTATTTTGTTAGTTCTGTTAATGACAACTGCTCAGTTACCTTTCAGACAGCATTCTGTTTTCCTTAGTTCTGTTAATGACAAAAAAAATTTCTTCTGCTGATGATGATGATGCTTCTTTTATCATAATTTTAGAATTTTGATGAGAGTGAACCAGACACAGCTGCAAGTGATGACTCCCCAGAAATGCATATCTCTAAGGTACTGTTTTTGCACAACTCATAACACGATTTTATATGATTGCCAAGGCCTACAAATTTTACTTATGCTTATAGTCACTGTAACTTAGATCTAACACTCTAAATGCAGAGTTTGAATTTTTATCAGAAATGTGGTGGGGTATTTTTTCACTTCAAGTTTATAAAGATCTTCCCAGTGTTCTGTAAACAACTATATTTACAACTACATTTTCTGTCACCTAATCTACCAAATATTTTAAAAGTTCAATTTAAAGTAATTAGGTTTAAATATCTTCTGTGTTAGAGAGTTACAATGATATTATCATCTATCGTTTTTGGCTTTTAAATACAAATGTGGTCATTGAGGCACTGAAATGGCCAAATTTCATAAAATAATTAAAATGTCCACTTAAGACTTATAATTCTAAGCATATTTATTGTATTGATTGTATTACCACAGTAATTATAAGGACATGGGAGCAACAATGGCTTTAGAAAAAAATAGTATTTAGCAAAACTTAAATAGGGTTTAAGATCCTGAGGAGTGGGGGGGCTGTTGATTTTGGAGATTTTTGTGTACCGTTGTATGTATATGCGTTCAATGAACTGAGAATACTTGTCTCAGTTAAGGCAGGATTCAATGTGAATGAAGTAAAGACCATGTTTTAGAGTATGGTAGGCCTCCCGGGTAATGTCATATAACTGAATGTATGAAAAATTAACACATCACCTTTGCGAGAGTGGATACACTAAAAACTATGGGCTGTCATAAAAGAGCTCATTGAAAAGCAAAGGTTACAGTTCAAATTTCAGTCTGCAAAAGTTGCTAGGAAGCAGAAGCCTCTCAAGGAGAACACTGTTTTAAGACCAGAAGTGATGTATGCATTTGAGACATGGACCCTCATCATGAAGGCTAAAACCTGCTCAATGCCTGCCTGTGGCTGATCCTAAGAAAAATGTACAGGCCTGTACAGGATAATGATGGTTAGAGAATTTCAGACAAATCAAGAAAATACCAGGCAGGCTTTGCTGGACGGGACACCTTGAGACTACTTGAGAGGATGCCTTATTATAACTGTTAACAGACAGAAAACAAGAAACCAGGGGTCGGAGTTGGGTGGGGTCAAATTTGTACATATGCATGGGGTTGGGGTATCCAACAAATATGTAGCAGGGAGGGGTCTGGAAATTGAAATTCTTTTGTGTACGTAATATATCGAAAAGCCTCTAATAAAAAGTAAGATGGCTTCCTTTGTTGAATGCGAAAGCTATAAATAAAAGATTTTAAAAATTAATTATTAAAAGTAAAGACTAAAATATGGTCACACTTTTTTGTCAGATGGCCACATGTGGCCTTCACAAATCGTAAAGCAAATCAATCGTATTTTTAAAAAAAACTTATGTGTAATTTTTTTTTTCCAGCCATTTGTGGCAGGGGTGTTGACTCAAGATCTATCAATAGATCAAGACTTGAATGGTGCTTCTCAACATGAAGGTTATGGATCAACACAGACTACTGGTGATCACGGGGAACATTCAGTTAGACTTGCACCCCATGAATCTCTAATTTCATAAGAAAGATACTTGGTATTTTCAGTTTACTGGGATTATAAATCTGTTTTGAACTCTCAAAATGATTTGTGACAGTATCGGTCAAATTATTTTATTTCCCCTTCTTTCTGTTTTCTATATAAAAAAAAAACGGAATACCAGTAAATATGAAAATGTAAAATAATTTCTATCAGATAATATTTGCTTTATCCTTGATAAAATGTGATGGAGCTTTCCTATGCAGCTTACTGTGGTCAAAGCCAAACATCCTTTCTGTCAACATAAAATAGCTGGTGCAATAGATATTTATTTTGAATTGATTATTATAAATTTAGTAATGGTGGGAGGTTTTTGTGAAATATTTTGACACTGTTTGACGCCACAAATCTCAGTGGTGAATCCATGTTGAGAATCCTCTGGCACAGATATCCCATATAGGTGTTCACACTGAACAGGCACAACCATAGCATCAGATGCAGAACTTTTGTTTATATTATCAGTTTTTAAATTTATCTGCCAGTGCAACGATCAGCACCATAAGGCTGCTTGTGGCTCGTTACATGAATAATTCAGCTTATTTCTTTTATGTATGATTATTACAATAACCACCAATGCAAGATGAAATTAAAACGAAACATTTTTTTAAAATCTTTAATTAAATCCCATTTTTAAAACAAAACATTTTTCCTCCAATTGCCAACACCAATAAAAATCAAACTTGAAACTTTTTTCAAACTATACAATATGGCTACTTTATAATAAAATACAAATAATAATGAAAAATTGTAAACAAGTCAGCTGAGATTAAATTCAGTGTTGTTTTTTTTTGCTTTTTTTTTGCCACTCAATTTTCCAAATGTTGCTTTGCCACTAAGCTGTCAGCTGATGACAATGCATGTGCACTGATTAAAATATGAAGGGATTGTTTCTGTATATTGCCAGGCTACAGTATACCGCAATTCTCAACAAACCCATGAAAATTAAACTTGTTGGCCCTGTTTTTGTTGCAGCGAGGAGCACAGCTGCACACTAGCACAGTAGCTCGTGGTCACAGAAAGTTGAGAACCCAAGTAACAAATCTGCAGTGCGAATGTATCTTTAACTTTAACATCCTAGCCAAATCTAATTTATTCTCTCAGAGTACTCTCATTGTAAAAGTTGCCGGTTTAACATTTTTCAAAGAAATAAGTAAAGCCTCAAGGAAAAATATTCTCACATTTGACCCTCCTTAATTTTATGTCAAACTGTATTCATGATTTTAAATAATTTATACATAAATAAATTTTTAAAGTTCCCTGCCTGCTATATTTCAGGAAATGCAATGTATGACTTTCTACTTAGCATGTCAATCACACATCAAATTATCTTGCCTTGGAATCATTCAGATGATGCTGCCTGTAAAATTTATCTCACAAATCGTAATCCAGGGTATTGGCAAAATTACTTAGTGTTTAACTTAATCAAATCTGATTAAAATATTTGGGGGGTTTTGATGGCACAAAAACCTGTTGGAAGAGTTTTAAATTTTTCACAGGGGAACTCTTTTTTGTGATTCAAACAGCCTAGAAAGTTTTGATTAACTAATTAATTATATGAAATGTTAGACCCAAGTTTAAGTTAAGCTATTTTTTCCCACTGGAATGGTCAGAGTTGGCCATTACCTCTTTTTTTTGTGTTCCTCTCACTTAACAACTGGCTTGTATATTTAGACCAGAGGCTTTGATTTATACATGAGAATCACTTTTAATAATTGCATTGGGTGCATTGCAGAATTTTATTAATATGTTTTAGTGTTACAAAAAAAAAAATTAAACTGCTGATCTAGACCATAGTTGTTATTTTGCAGCTTGCTACTAATAATAAATTTACAGGTTTTGTAGGTGGGCAGCCTTTAAAAAAACATCAACAGATACGTACCCAAGTAAAAAGTATGAGCTGTAAATATAGTTGATAAGAGAGTAATGTAATTAAACATTTTTAATTTTTAAAAAAAAAAATAATCTGCTCATCTATTATAATTGTAAATAGATATGAAAGATTTGGCTCGACACTCCATGTGGAATCAGAACAACCCCCAACCACCACCTGCATCACCCTAAATATGTGCTCTTTATTATGATCCCTTCTTTACTCTCATTTAAGCTCATAATTAAATAAGTGATGAGTCCACAACATCCATAAATAGGATTATGTTGCAAATAAATACCTTTCTTTAATAGCATAATATTTAAAATATATTTATAACCATGAAACATTTGATTTTGCTTACCACCCATTGGTTGCCTAGGCTAGTTGTAGGTGAACACCTAATTTTAGTCATTGCTGCTTTAGAAGTATTTGATATTTGTTAGTTTCAGTAGCCCATATCATTTCAACAAAGAAAAAAATGTACACTTAAGTTTTATACATGTAAATTAAAACTAAAATGATTTCCATGAGAACTGTTTTTTTTTTTGTCTCCTGTTTTAAATTTTTTTTCTTTAAATAAGAGAATTAATTTTTTAATTTATATTTTTCGTTTATGAATTAAAATATTTATCAACCTTGTTTAATTCAGCAGCATATTTAAAATTATTAGTCTGTATTTTTAACATTTTGTTACATATTACACCACAGCTTGATATGGTTATTTGATTCTTCTTTCACATTATATGAAAGTTTAACTGTTGAATGCATGTTATAAAAGAATTTTGAAGTAAAATGGATTTATTTTAATATATTATAGTTAAATTCAACTAATGGATGATTTATTGTCTAATATTATACACATACAGACAACCTTCATAACTTTTAAAGACTTCTCTATTATTTCATCAGTTTTTATTTATTTTCTAGATTTTATGTGTCTTAATTTAATTAATCACATTTAATTAATTTAATTAATCACATAAGCTTTTATAAGTCTACTAAATATTTTTAAGACACTAAAATTACACTTTACAGTTCTCGTGTCCCATTTCTTAACATTGATTTTTAATACTAATTGATGTTTTAAAAATATGTTTGGATTTAAATGGGTGAATACTGAAATTTTATGCTTTATCATGGTGCTATATGTTAACTTAGAGGAATTGGAATATTTAATGAAAGAAATTTAAGAATTAATTTTTTAATTTATAAGACCTTTTCTCTGAGTTTAAAAATAAATAAAGCAAGATAAGTTACAGTTTATTCATAAGCATTTATACTCGTTCAAAAGACTACTTATAAGAAAAAAAAATTCAAGGAAATCTGCCTACATAGATTTTTATATTCTCTAGGTCATTGATTCTATTATAGAAAACGATGAAGAAAAAGTAAAAAAATAACTAATTTATTAGCAGAAGTCAACATAAGCAATGGGCAAATTTGAATCACACGTTTTGTCATCATTTTGTGAATGCAGAGGATTGGCTTTGCTTAGAGTATTAAAATACCTACATTTTTACATTACCCAGTACAACCTTCACAATTAGCTTTAAAATTTAAAAAAAATGCATGCATCTGTCTACTGGCATTTTATGAGGTTGGCTTATGAGCAGGTTGGACACTTTTTCAGGCTTTACCTGCCAAAACTGATGGGGTTGGCTTATGAACAAACTGGCTTTAGAACGGGTATAACGGTAATAATGCATTTATTTTGATGGTTAAGCTATTTGGCTAAGATATGTAGTCTTAACTGTAAACTTATTAATGTTGAGAAGGTGCTGGAGAAACGTAAATATTTAAACAAGATTATTTATACACTTAAAATATTTTATACACATTAATCATGCACCAAAGTATGCTTTCTTCACTAAACAAGGATAAAAGTATTATAAGTTGTAAGGAAATAGATTACATTTTTTTTTTATAAATTGTGTTTGCAAACACTGCTGTGTTTAAAGTATACCACAGAATCTCCAAAACTTACATTCTGGTCATTTTTAGATTAAAGAGATGTTTCTGAAATTAATACGTATTGTGCCCATTTAAATTAATTCTGTTTCCAAATTCTAGTCAGTTGATTTAACCCTTGATCCTGAGCTTTAAACTTTGTATTAAATTTTTAAATTCTATTTGAGTTTGAGCTTGTGATGACAATGAATCAAAAATGACTCCTCATACATAATACATGTGTTTTGTTGTGCATTTGATGGATAAATAAAAAATATTTTCATTTTATACAAACAATTTGCTACGAGTTTTAAAAAAAAAATGCTTTTTATGTACAGATGTTTAAAAATAATTAGGTAAGCAATAAAAATAAAGTTAGTGATGAAACATTTCTGAGGTTTCTGTAATAAAAAAAAAAAATTGATTGTTACGATCAAGTTGCTAACCTCTGTGACACATATTTGTACACAAAAAAAATCATTGAATTTTGTTTTAGTTTTGCAGATAAGGCGGCCTCATTACTCTGCATAGTCTTGTCATCTGATTCTGGCTTGTAAAATTATCAGTATTTTGTTACTGCAAGCACTCTCAGAGTAATGATAAATAACTCTATTAGTCCTATGCTATTTAAAAATCATGGAGGTTTACAAACCCCCCATTGACCTCTCATGGGAAACTTCCTAAATATTTATTTTGATAGATGAATCTGATGACTTCTTTTTCTTTGACCATAGGTCACAATCCTTTTCTCTGGTTTAAAATGGGGCTCTGTTAATCGAAAAGGAAATGAGATATTTTAACCTCTACTGTGAATTACTACAAAAGAGGAAAGAAGGTTAGATAAATTAACATTATGTAAAATACTGATTTACATTGTAAAATGTTATAGTTAGCTCTCACATGCCACCCTTAAAATTTAAAAACTAGAAATAATTAAACTTTCAAGGAAACTTACCAGCCATGTATTTTCTCCACAATAAAATAACGTTTATTATACCGGTATCAACATTTTTTACTGCAACTTCCACAGGTGTAGTTGATTAGCTTATTCTTTTAAGAAATAGTTTATATATCTCTCCAGAATTAAGAGAGAGTCCCTCATATATTATACTTATTCAAAAAATCTCAAAATAGTCATGCTAAGACTCTTAAAGTACGGTGATCACTTTTTGAATTTGAAACCGGGACCAGGATTGAAAAAATAGCTCGATTGTTTTTCCAAAGAGAACTCTTCTGCCTGTGAGGTGTTCAAATGATCTTATTAAAAAGTATTGTGATGCTAATTAGGATGAATTATTATTATTTTTTTTTTTTTTACATGTTTTATTTATTGTTTGCATGTGGATATCAGATGTAATTGATATATTGTTAAATTAATCTGTTTATTTTGTAGTCTTTTTACTGTACTGGTTAAGGCTCATGACTAACCAGGACAAATGTCCAAAAAACCAGTGCTGTACTGTAAAAAAAAAAGGATGAATGGTCACCTTTCTAATAAAAGTGTTATGTTTAGTCCACATGATTATATATTTTATGATGACATTCACTAAATCATAATTAAAAATAACCTGTGGCTTCACATGCTTTATCAATGTTGTCTCTGGTTCATTGTTGTTGGGGTTTTTGTGTTAAATAAACATATTATTGCAATTCTAATTGTCGTTTCTTGAGTAATTAATTTCGGTGTTAACTGTTTTGAGATGTAGCTTTTGATAATCATTTCTTGGCAATGATTTTGTTACTAAATATTAAAACTGATCACATTTATAAATAAAATCATCATATTATTGTAAGGACCCAACACACAATAAATTTTGTTTCAATGCGTTCATTATCTTTGAAAAAGATCATTTATTTCAATTTTATTTACAGGAATCCTTATGGCTGAATCATAATCTGAAACAAAGATAAAATTGGATAAATTATAAGAGCACAGATTTCACTTGAACCTTGATTTTTAGGGTCCAAGGCTTAATTTGTGCTACCGGTATCTCCTAATCCGGGCTATAGTGAAACCATGTTAAGTATATAGTGACAAATTTGCCTAATGGCTAGGTACCTTAAAGTACAAATACAATAAGTAACGATTCACACCATCTATCAACATCATTCATTACAAATTCATTGTTTCTAATGAATTATGAATGCTCCATTTCTCATTATATTAAATGATTGGGAGTGGGTTCTTGATAATGACCCCCATAGAGCAAATGGTCGCTGCATTAATTTGAAATTGAAATAGTAGATTTGAAGCAATGCAGCTTTGCCGACAATTATATTAGTTCATTATTTAGCCTAGAGAGAATCTCAATCTCCTTTCACAGATTGTTACTGGGGTTTTATCCTCCTGTTAACAAAATGTATTCATCCTCATGGCATCCTTTTTTTAATCAAATCTTTCACTGCTTAAACACCAGGAACAAATAATCTTTTCCTAATAAGTTATCAATTTTATCATAAAGAAGTAAAAATAATGTAAAATAAAAATGAATTTTTAAAGAGAAAATTAGTCCAGATTTTTAAAAATTATTTAATTAATACAAGCCTTTTAGGTACGGTATAATAAAGTAAAAATAACTGTTATTGAAACATAAATCTTTTATCTGTTAACATCCATAGTTAAAATACTTACGTGACTTCTTTGTGACCTTTCTTCTCAAACGTCTTTAGCTTGTACTTCCTTTTCCTCCTGTTAGACATTTTTTTAAGAATAACTTAAGTCACTGCTAATAAGTTTAAATCAGTTAATTGATAGATAAAGTGAATGAGATAAATGCCATATAATGATTATTATTTAGTTCTATCTTCAAAGTCAATGCACTACTTACTTTTGTCTTATCCTTGGTTCAATAATATTCCTTCTCTGCATACTTTTGTAAACGTCTTGAAGTGGATGACCTTCAGGCTAAAGGTAACAGAATAACAGGTTAAAAGTGACAATATTTTTTTTTAAATTTCATTGGGGTGGAGAGAAGTGAAAATATCAAATGTCAGAACATAACTTTTCCATGTTAACCCCTTAAATTTATTAAGTCAAAAACACATAGGTACACATGGTGTACCATGGTGGTCACTTTGATCTGCCACTAAGTCAGACTGGAAACAGCTTCCAAGGGGGACAAGGCCATTTCATTTAATTAATCATGTTTGTAATTTTTGTAAAAAAACTTAGTAAATAAATCCATTATAAAAATGAAAAAAAGCCAATGGGTCTGCTAATATTCATAAATCCAAACCTAAAAAATCTGGAGATGGCCCTTTGTAATGCTTTTACTTCTTGTGAAAAAAATAAAGACAGTATAGTGTGGTTAGCTTTCAATCATTTTTTTCTTCTGGATTTGTTGATATTTGCTAAGGTCTTAAAACTCATAACATATATCATATATAAGTATTATTTATTTTGGGCATTTACAAGCAATAAATCTTACAATAATAAATAAATTTCTTCATATTTTACCTTGACTTCCCTTAAAGAAGCAACTAGCTCAGATGAAAGCTTCAAATCAAGGTCGGGTTCCTCAAATGTTCAATGAATTAAGGAAACAGAAGTTAAATAATCATACATACATTTTCATTTTGTACTTCAATGCAGTGATGTTCTTCCATAGATTATGAATGAAAAACATTACAAATCAATTTGCCGTCTACTTAATACTTTTTTGTTTTTGAATTGTTTTAAAAATTTATTGCTGAATGAAAAAAAAGGATATTTGATTAAACCAAGACGCTTTGTCTTGAACTTTTCTTCTTCCTTTTTCTTTTGCTTGAGAGCTTGCCTTTCTGACTTCTGTCTTTCTGCTTTATTGATTTCTGACTTAAGGGATGGTATTCTGAAAAACAATTTAAAAAATTACTAAATGAGGTAGGTAGTTATTTTAAATGCTGCTATGTGGCGAGAATTGATCATGTTAAATTTAACAACTTAGAGCCTTTTATAGTTAAAAATAAATATTAAATGTTATTAGTGGTAGTCAGAAGTCCCCATTTAAGAGAGCTCTTTGTATAAGTTCTTCATCATTTTATTTACCTTTGCTAATTCTTGGATATTTGTGTTCATTAGCACTAGATCTGTTAAAAGGAATTATTTTGAAGCTATTTTTGTTATACTTTTTAAGAGCCCAAAAAAAATTTTAAAAATGAAAACTTTAAAAGTAATATAGTTGCTGTTTTCTTTAAATTTTCATTGATTCAGTTAACATTTAGTTGTATTAATCTAATACCGGGGTGCGAAAACTATGGCTCGCTTTTCCTTAAAATAAAAAAAAAATGGAAAATAAAAATGAACTTGTAATTTAAATTTTGATTTCAGATATTACTACTGTATGGTGTTGTTTCGCTTTTCTGATGTAATCCCAATTTTCTCTGTTTTGTATTGATTGAGTACATTTTATTTTTGGGATAATCAATTATACTATAATTATTACAGACTATAATTTATTGTTCTTATTTATTTACACATAATATAGTTATAATAATCATTAACATAGTTTGAGAATAAAGAAAACGTGATTATTAATTCCATATGATTCCTGAAAAATCCATTCCCTACCCCCCTCCTTTCACTTTCACAATTTATGCCTCCCATGCCTCTGTTACTTCTTAAATCTGGCTTGTAGCTACAAAAGATTGCTCACTCATAACAATCATAACCACACATATATTAATATGGGTAGACAAAAGGGGATTCATCTTGTGACAAATATATTTTAACAATAATTTTCTGCTGTATAGTTTATTCTTCAGATTTCCTTGAGAGGTTATGGACATGGCATAAGTATATATACCAACCGCATTACCTCAAAACCATGTTTTCTCTTTTTTTAACTTTTTCTTCCATTGCCCTTTTCTTTGCCTGATAAAAAGAGAAGATGGTACAATTAAATATCTAAAATGTTTTCAAAAATCTATATAATACATTGTTAAAAAACTGATAAAAATGTATTTAGACTAAATTTAAGATATTTGGTTCAAGGCATGTGGTAAGAAATGCTTTTTATTTGATTTACAAAAATTAGAGAAAATGGAGCCATGCCATTCCAGAACTGACACAAGATTTAATACAACTTTAATATTTTGATTTTTACCTTTTCTTCTTCCACTTTTTCATTTCTTTTTTGACGCTTTGTTTTTCTGTCTTCTCTTCTGACTGGCGGATTGGCTGATACAGGAATTGCATCGACCCCCTCCTCCTCTAAATCATCTTCCTCATCTGTATCATCTACAAGTCCAGCTGACATCTCAACCATGTAGGTGAACTAAAATCAGAAGCTTAATACTTAGAAGATAAATCACTTTAAAAAATTTAATGCCTATATTTTTAAAGCTTTAATTTGACCACAATAAAAATCTTTTCAAATGCTTACCCTTTATTTAACATTTATTTTAAACCAGTGTTGTAAGGCAGAGCCTAGAGCAGGGTCTTTTTGCTCAAAACTGATAAAAAATTTTTTTAATAAAAATCTCCTGTTATTAAATTTGATTTTTAACAAATGTCCGTTCAAACAAAGTTCCCACACATAATTTTCCTTCAAACAAATTTCTTTCATAAAAATGTCCAAATAGTGTTGCATCCAATAAATAAATTGGTCAATGCCGACTAATCAGCCACAATTATAATGTATTTTGCTTTGAAATATAAATTATAATTTATTTCAAAATTAGTCACACTTATAGAGCTTTCCTTTTCAAAGACTTACAAGCTTTGGATTTTGAAAATGACATTCCCCCTTATACTCCAAATCTAAAAAACATACAAGATAAAACTTCAATATCCAGAAAGACTGGATTGCAATGAATGAAAACAAAACAGAAGTGATGAGAATTAATGCAAAAAGATCAGAAGTTGTAGTGATATGGTGAAAATCTCTAGGATAAGCAGTTAATTTTACGTATCTAGCAGGTTTAGTTAGTAGGGATAGAGGATCTGAAGCGGACATCAAGGCAAGAATACAAAAGGCAAGAGGAGCTTTTGCTTTACTTAAAAATATTTAGAGCTCTAGGCAAATAAGGAGAAATACATAAATTAGAATTTTTAGCTCAAATGCCTCTTCCCTCATACAGCAGTGAGGGAGATGACAGCACAAATCGCATCAAAGCAATAGATCTGGAAAAGAAGGTGGAGATGGATAGGTCATATCATGAGAAAGCAGATGCCAAATATAACAAGACATGCACTGGTATGGAACCTTTAAACACCTGGCAAAGAGCGGTCAACAGGATGTAATAAAGATTAGGAAAGAGTTCGAAACAATAGCAAGAGACCGGAAGGCTTGGAAAGAAATTGTTTATGGCCTATGCTCCATTGGGAGTTGAAAAGGCAAAGCAGATAAAGAATAGAGCTATTACGTTAATCAGGAGCAAGGGTGAACGATGATTACGATCTGTGTCACTGGGCAAAAATATAGATGCAAACAACACCCGTTCCCCGAAAATTTCAACCATGTTCAGAGACCCGGATTAACATCAGATCAACATAATGAATACTCATTTTCTTAAGTGTGTGGAGCAATTCTAAAGAAATATAATAATAAATTCACCTCATCTGGGGCATCTTCTTTAGAGGGAAACTTAAGAGCATTAAGAATTTTTTTCTCGTTTTTAATCCGCTGCTCTTCCTTTAAATGTCCCAGCAGTAGCAAATCCTGAGGAAATATGAATATTCAAAAGAAAAAGGTTGGTACAGTAAGACTATTTAACACACAAATAAAAAGATTTAGCTCAGTCTAGTGTTTTTAAGTAAAAACAAACATGACTTCAGCAGGTCTCACATCTTGCGGCTAATTGACAACTGTGCCTCCCTGCAGCATCCCCTCAATAAAAGTGGACAGACGAAGAACAAATATTTGACAACAACATAAAGTAAAAACTATGAAATTTTTTAAACAGCTTAAAAATTAAGATTTTGGTAAAACAATAATCAAATTCTTTACATACTAGGCATCTTGGACTGGGTAATGGATGTCATCAACTAAGGATTAGCACATTGTCTACACTGAATTTACTGGAATAATTCTTGAATATAAATTAAAACTACTTTACTCTACCTGATGATCGTCATAAGATGGATTTATGGATGTACCCGGATGTGGAATATGAGTGGCTGACAAAGCACTTGTCAGTTGCCTCCTAGGACGCTGAAAATAAAAAAAATAAGAATTTGTATTCTGATTTTTAAAAAACTAAATACGATTGACAAATATGCTTAAAGAAAATTATTTTTAATTTAACAAATTTTAGGCTCCAAATTTTGTTATTTCAAATAAAAATAGTTTATTTGATATAAAATGCATTTATTATAAATTATAAATAGATCTGTATTTCCCAGGCATTCAAATAAAAATAATAGAAATGCTATTTACTTGCAGTCAAAATGATGGCAGATACAGGAATTTAAAATTGGTTAATAATAATATAGTGCTTTTTAGATACCTTTAACTTTTGACCATTTGACTCGAGGGCATTATCAGCTATAATGAAAGAAAGCAAAAGTTAAATAAGTTGTACTTGAAACAATGATTAATAAAATGCACAAGTATATTTTGTGCAGAAACTTATCTTGTACAGTGTAACAGAACAGTCACTTCACTTAGTAAATAAATACAATAATGATAGGCCAGCCTCTACAAATGAGCTTTCCAAACTGTGTGGCCCCTATAGAGTGTAGGTATGTCAAGTGAAAATATTGCAACTATTTTTATTTTAGGAATGTAAGGAACAGAATAGCATGACACATTATTGCATTCACATTTCATCCTAATGGTTTTAGTCTGGTATCTCCCTTTTTTCCATAGAAATGTTACACATGGATTGCCAGTTTAGCCATGATCTAAAACCTAAACTTATTGGAAAGGAGGTATGGCTTTGTTTTGTAAGGTCTTTTCTCTTTAGATTTTGAATTTATTAGAATTTATTTCTGCACATAGCACCAGCTACAATGCTTTTCCAGATACATGCAGTACAAAGCAGGGTATTGTGCGTTATCATTGCTGATGATCTAGTGCCTGTGCTGTTATTTCACATTTAAAATAATTATAGTTAAAACTTTATTATATTTTATGTGTTCCCAGTTATTCATTGGTGCCGAGTTAGTGTGGTGGCTGCTATTTCACCTTTTTTTAAAATTATAGTTACAAATGTATTATACAGTGGCAGTTAAATCACTGAATGTGCAATGAATCATCTGTAAAAAAATATATCCTTCTAATTAAGAAATAAAAAGTTGGTAAAATTGAAGTTTGCTATGAACAAAATGCATTGGCTGTATGTGCATCAATCCAACTGCAGAGTGGTGGGTTGTGAGAAAAGTAAAAGCCCTGTCCACAAGTTTATATCACTTTCAAATGAAAGTATGGTACTAAGTGAATTAAAGGGGAATTTTAGGCCTAAGAATTGCTATTCCTCAAAAAGCCAGTAGATAAATTCAATGAGGATTCAAAATTTATAAAGAAGCAGTCTGCCTCATTCATCAGGGAATGTCATGAATATATCAGAGACATTTGAAATGGCAAGTTCCTTGGCTGTAAAATAACTTTTCAAACGCACATAATGAACCAGCAACTATTGTCAAACCCATCATTAAGGAATTTAGCTCAGCTATTATTGGACCATGGTTTGGGTCCGAAATTGTTGTAGTGGTCCATAACATATTTGGAAGATATATTTAAGATGTTTTTCTGATGACATTAAGCTGAAAATAAAGTAAATTTTTTAAGACCATGATTATGATTATTAAAATTGCACTAATCAAAACATGCTAGCTATTATATGTTTAAGCTGGTAAAACCTGAAGGTGTTAAGTGAAAATGCGGACCACTAAAAGTATGTCTACAACATAAAAAGTTTGGAAAGCTCTGTCTTTGAGAATTAGAATAGCTTCAAATATTGTAATTGTCAAACCTACCCAACCACAAATCTTCAGTCACAACTGGAAGCTGTTTTTTGTGTATCTTTTCCTTTAACTTTTCTTCCTTCCATTTCTGTCTCTGCTTCTCAGCAATTATCCTAACTTGAGAACGAGACCGCTCATTATTTCTGCTAATTATTCTTTCAGTCCTTTTTCCTTTTTGAAAAGTGATATCGTCCGGCCTGAAACGGTTGAAGTAATTTAACATGAATTATGGTATTGTTTAAAAAAACAAATTATGAGGGAAAAAAATCAAGCACAGATGTATAATCAGTGACAAGGTGAGTTTATCCTTGCATTTTAATGACATAATATGTAAATGCTTATGAGAGTAAAAAAGGTGTTCGTATTTTATTCCAAACCCTAATCTTATATTTATCCATGGCTTGGACTTAAAGTGAATATGACACATGGCAATGCCTCCCGAGTGTGTTGTGCAGCACTTCTGTTATGATAAGAGCCGAAGGGCCAAAGGAAGCTATGGTCAGAAGTCAAAAACTACTTATTGGAAACAAACTAGGATGCCACGTTTATTTCTTTCTTAAAATAAAAAAATATATAATTTACCACTCAGTTAAATATTTTGATGAGCTAAACTAAAAGCTATAAGTAAAAAGTTAGTCAACATCAGTGTGTATGAGAATTTCTGTCACATTTGTTGTTTTGAATTAACTCAAATTTACTGAAGATGGATTTCCATCCGGGTCTTGTTTTTTCTTGTGTTCATTTCCTTGAACTGGCTTACTATTTTGAAATGTGGATATCTATGGATAATGTTATGGATCACTGTTTTGGGTGTGCCAGGGGCCGCCCAAAAGCCCCTTTAAAAAAGTAAAGGAATGACAAATGATAATGTAGAAATGTATAGCTGTAGTGACCCATTTACCATAAACCCAAAAGAGATTATGGCTTTGAGCAGCACATTCCAGAAGGTGGGATAAATATGTCTTGAAAAACACTAATGGTAGTTACAGAGATGAATTTAACTTCATCCACATTTCAACTAAGCCTATATTTTGATATGCTAGAAAAGTTTTGTAATGTATTTTGGGGACATCTGTTTAAAAAGAAATATGACCTAATTTTTAAAATTACCTTTCTATAATGAATTCCTTAACCATATTAGTCATAGAAAAAAAAAAGTTACAATCAGCAATCTTGAGAAGAAAAAAAAAATCCTTCTTTAGCTAACAAAAAAAACCACAACCAGCAAGTGAATTTGTAACAATCAAATAAATTGAAACAAAGATCCTACTCATAGAATGCTGGAGTCCAAATGCACTAACACTGCTTCTTAATGGCATGTGATTATAGCTTTCTACTTTACCGGCTCAAGCTCTATTGTTTTTTCATTTTATTATTTCATGTTTTAATGTATTTTTTTTTTCCTCCAAAGAAGACTTTTAAGAGCCACCAGGGCAGACTCCCCATTCTAAAGTAACTGTGGATGATCTTATAAATTTTACAACGTTGCCAAAAATATTTTTTAAACTTACATATTTAGCAAAAGTAAAAACAAAAATGGACTTACTTTCTTACTATTTTACTATGTGGGTCTGGCTGAAGAAGGGAAAGGCATTTTAATGGTTTATTTCGAAGGCTTCTTTTAGACTTGGGTTCTGAAATTAATAATAATGATTTGGAAAAAAAAGAGGACACATTTAAAACAAAGTTTTGATTCAGTATCATAAATTATGTCATCTGTCTGAGATAAAAATCCCTTATTCATAAGATATATAAATATTTTTTTTAAAAACATACAAAGCCATTTTACGTGACTAAAAATTGATAAAAATACATATAGTTTTTTTTTTAAAAATCAGATTTATTTGGATTTAAATTGAATTGTTTAAAACTTAAATTTGATTTTTTTCTTCTTTTTTTAGATTATGGACTTCTTTAGAATTTCAAGTACATTAATTTTTTATAAAGATGAAACATAATGTAGTTAATATAATTTAAATAAATTTATTAAAATTTAAAGGATTTATCATACTGATTTAAATTTAAGGAAAATAATATTAGAATAATTTATAAAATCTTAATTAAAGCCATTAATAGGGACTTTCACAATTAATTTTTCAATCTATTTGAATAAAAAATAAAATAATTAACTTTAAAAAAAGTTTTAAAAACCTATAATCAACTATATTCAGTCTCTATCGAATTTATGTGAATAAGACTTTCAAGTTATCAATGTTATAATATTGTCAATGTCATTTGATTCCACCTAAGCTCCTGATAAAATAATTTGAATAGAAAAACTAATTTTCTAGCTTTCTCAAATCCAAGATGATTTCTAATTTCTAAAAACTGAAAAGTTTATTGAATACAATTTAGTATAAAATTGTGTAATGATAATTATATTTTAATAAATAATATATTATGTGACTAATAAGATATAAAAATAAACTTTATTTCTTTTTTTCAAGTGCCTTTGAGTATAAAAAGATTAGATAAATAAATATAATTTAAAATCAATTAGAATCTAATTTTTTTATCAAAATCATGAGTTTTAATGGTCTATAAAAAATATATTTATTATTTAAAAAATCTGAACAAGATTACAATAGACATTCCTTGTAGTTGTGTATATCTTAAAACATCTATAAAATTAGGTACAAATAATGACTGTACTATATTTTTGAAGTTGAACGGTATGTATATTTGAAATTTTATTTTATTTACTAAACTTGTGCTGTCATTTACTGTATAGCTTGGCCCCAGGAGGCTCCTGGCTCACACCATAGGCTGGGTTGAACCATTAATTTTGGGTTATTAAAGCAGGTATTTCATGTTGACCCACAGATAGGTCACAGCCTTAGTTTGGGGAGCTACATGGCCCATTTTTAATGGAACTATAAATAATTTTTGTTAACAGACATCACAATAATGTTTCTATAACTTACTATTACAAATTGTAAACTGAAAAGCAGTTGTGATAAACTATATGATCTTTAATTAACATTTTAAAAATCACCAGCGAGAGCAAAAGAGAAAAAAGTTCTATGACTTTTTGTATACTAGTAATATTAAATGACTACACCACATTGAATAACAGTTAGTGTAATTGATGTCAAGCATAGAGGGCTCACAGTGATTTTTATAAAAATTTTTGGTTAAAAAAAAAGTGTTACATAAATGTGAGTATATAGTACAGTACTAATAACTTTTCTATTACATTGTTATAGTTATTTTTTTTCCACATACCTGCTGAATCAGAGCCTTGCTTTGAGCTTTTGTCTATAACAAAGAGACTTCTATCCAACTTCTCTGAGACCAAACCTCTATAAAAAATAAAAGTAGTAGGTAAAATAGTGTTTAAGAAAAATGACAGTTTTATTTAGAAATTTCTTTTAGAAATTGCAACTACTAACAAGAAAATTGCCTGCTGGAATTGTTGAATTAAGTTAGCTTATCATATTCAAGATAAATAAAATAAATCTGAAAATCATTTTTTGAGCTGATATTTAATTTAAACATCAATATTGAATACAAACACAACATCAGGTAAATCACATCGACATGTTGACTTAACAATTCTGATTAACTATGCGAATACTCGCATAAAAAAAAAATGCCTTATTATCATGACTAGAGGTGGGAATCAAACCCTGTTCGTTCACTAAAAGCTTCATTTCTGATTCTGTTTGGAACATTCTGTAATAACCGCAATTTGAAATTAGTTTTGTTTTAAATTTTAAAAACTATAATACATTTTTATAAACATAAGCATTCATAAAAGAAATTCATTTTAAAAAAAAAAGGAAAATATATTTTCCTTACCTATCATAAGTATACCAGGATTTATATATTTATAAATAAAACGTGAGTCAATAAGATTTAATGAAATAATAGGGAAACCTAAATTTGTATTGGGTTTCCTGGCCCTGCTATAGACTATAATAGCCCTATATTTATATAGAATGTATAAGGCATCCTTCCATCTTCATTAGACAGTAGAGTAACTATTGACATTTAATCAAAATGCTCACAATCCTGGAATGGCAGTCTCAGCTGCCCTACTCTCAGGAGAACTTTGACTCCTGGTTAAATTTGTCTTTTTGTAATGATCTTTTTGTTGCAAGGGCTTCATTTCGCACATCATGCTGCAAGGTTGTGGAGTCTTCCTTCTATTTACTTTCCTTGCTTTAAAATTAAAATCTCTTCTTCTTCTTATATTTGAGGTGCCCACGATCAATTTGATGATCATTCTGGCTCCTGGTTTAAATTCAGAGTTTTCCTTCTCTTAGATGGGTTGCCGTCCAAGGCTGACGAGTCCCTTCCACCCGGGGTGCTAGGGATGTTGGCTTTGGCGGGGATTGAACTCCGGACTGTTTGGTTTGAGACAGTTTAGGCCGCTCCTCGTGAAGTGTCTTCATCACCAGTGCAGCTACTTAGCCTGGGCAGTGTTTCATGGAGACCAGCTTTGGCCCAATTCCAATGCAGCAGATCCCTACTCTCCATGCAGCCAGTGGATCCAAGGGAATGACACCTGTCAATATAACTTAGCAATAACTGCATCACAGGAATTGTCGAAATGACATGGGTATCAGCATCAGATTGACTTCGGGACTCCATTCTGGATTTTACAGTTTGGGTTTACTCTTGTAGTCTTACCCTAGTTTCCCCACATTGATTTTATATGTTAATATTGATATTCATTCATTGCTTTCCTGTTTTCATCAATTTCAGTACACACACAAATTTGTGAGTCAGCCATCTTGTTACTAACCGGAAGCTATTAACTATAATATAGAATAATACTAGGCAAATTATAATTTTATACTATTACAAATGGTAAAAAATGGGGACGCCTGCCACTTTTTTTTTTATTGATGGCCGCCATCTTGGTTGCCACAACACGTGAAGTAATTTGAAGGGTCAACCAAGATGGCGGCCAAAAAGTAGTGCAAAACACGTGTTATGAAAAAAGGAACTTGGGGGGGGGAATGTGTTCATAAAAAAAAAAAAAAAATAAAAAAAAAGGAAAGAAACATGAAGTAATTTGAAGGGTCAACCAAGATGGAGGCCAAAAAGTAGTGCAAAACACGTGTTATGAAAAAAGGAACTTGGGGGGGGGAATGTGTTCATAAAAAAAAAAAAAAGAATAAAATGAAAGGAAAGAAACAGGGAGACACGTGAATTAAATTGCATTTGGAGTGATCTTCAAGTGGACTGGGGAGGGAAGACCACTCCCCAGAACCCCTACCCAATTTAACAAAAAATATATAATAAGAAAACAATCGATCCCTAAACCTAACCTGAATCCTAAATCGATCCCTAAAACTAGCCTAAAGCTGCGAGTAAAAACGTGTGGAATTTACACACTGACTCACTGTGGCAGGAAAACTAGGAAAATGAACAAAAAGAAGAGAAATGGCCAAAAATGATTATAAAATGAAGAAGAAATAATGAAATTATTGAAAAAAAATTTTGAACTTACAGCGATGGCGGTAAATCAATCAACTGACGTAAAATTTAAGCACTCCTTTCCATATCCGCATCATGTTAAAGTACCAAATAAAAAAATAATGTATCTATTTTTCAGTAATATTTCGAACATTCTCAAATTTCCAAACATAGTTTCCACATAATCCGCCACTGCTTTAACAAAACAATAAAATATTAAACATTCCTCGGGCGCATGAATACTATACATTACTTAAGAAAAAACAACATTTCTAAAATTGAGCCAAGGGAAGTGACTCCCAAACGTAAACAATACCCAAAAGACGCTGTGGCAGCCGTCCTCGGTTTTAGCCCAAATTAAATTAGAATTACCAATACATTAATAGAAGTAATGGTGATAATACCTATATTTCAATCAATGATACTAGGGGGTGGGTTTAGGGACCAGAAAATTTTATTTTTATTTTAAAAAAAGGAGGGGGGGGGGGTTCATGGAGAGTTCAAGTTAATTAAGGCCCAAATGGGGCAGTTACACAGATGTTTGAGAACTCAGAATTGGTGATAATACCTATATTTCAATCAATGATACTAGGGGGTGGGTTTAGGGAACAGAAAATTTTATTTTTATTTTAAAAAAAGGAGGGGGGGGGGTTCATGGAGAGTTCAAGTTAATTAAGGCCCAAATGGGGCAGTTACACAGATGTTTGAGAACTCAGAACTATCCCTATCCCCAAGGTAGTTCATCAAGACAAAAATTATTTACAGGGGTAAGGGTTTATTGACCAGGTTTATTTGACTAAAGCAAAGGCTGTTTCAAATATAGCAGTTAGTTGTTGTTTAAAGCATCAAAACCAAAGTAAATACCACCAAACCAAGCGCTCTAACTCAAGGCTCCTCTACACACGTGCGTATATCGATAACAGGTGTAACAAGGGATTTGGAATATGTATATTAAATAAGAGATTCAAGTACCCTGTTCGTATTTGACGTCTTTCGTCATCGAGAAACTCTTCGATATCTTCAACTTTTGATGCTCTCCAAGATTTCTTTTTGTTTTTTCCCATCTTTCGCTTTTTCGATAATCGCGGAGCTGTGTTTACGTCCGCCATTTTTATAACTTAACAATAAAAAGCGAAAGTAGAATTGAGTTAAGGTCAGTGTGCACAGTTGCCACTCAGGCTTGTTTAAATCCCCAAATACAAATTACACTCTCTCAGGATATATTATGTCAGGACTTGGAAAGTGGAGGCGAAAGGGCGCAGGCTCTTAGGAGCCACCAGCAGCGGAGCCTAATTCGTCAAAGCAACTAACTTATTTTTCTTTTGTACATAATGTGCTGCAATGCTAAAGAACTGAACTTTCTTACATTTTAAATTAAAATCAATGTCTGTAATTTTTTTCCATTCCAAATATAATAACATATTATATATATGTTATAAATATATAATTTGATAATTTCTCTTCAAATGTTGTTGAATATTCCAGTCAGTGTTGACAGTGGTGTAATAAACTTGAGAAAGAATTTTTCTAAACTAAAACTGATTAAATCATATATAAGAGCATAATATATGACCCAAGAAAGGCTCATATCGTTGGCTATTCTGTCTATTGGATTTCGTACTAAAGCAGACAAATCTGAACAAAAAAAACCAAACAAACCAAAAAGGCTATGAAGGGTATTTCCGACGTACTGGTACGAAAGTTATCATTTTTTGTTGTTACTTTAGGCCCACTAGGTGTATTCCAGTATGTTAAAATGTTTAAACTACAGACGCCCTGTGACCGGTGGCTGATCTATTAGCAAAATGTGTTTATCTTAAACGACCGAGAAGTTTTTACAATATGTATATATATTTAGCTGCTATTTATCAACAAATGTAAACAATGCATGTTTTGGCTTTTTAAAAAAAAATTCCTTTAATTTAATTCGCTGGTCTTGATAACTTTGATCGAATGATTTATGTTATCATAATTATTTAGAAGATTAAATCTAGTGAATCTTTGCTCTTAATAGTCGTCATTATACACTTCTTGGCATTTCGCTCCGTTTGATATCAACCTGAAAATTGTGGTAGGTATGGGAGCCAAAATTGCTAAGGCCGGCCCTGAGTAGGGAATTGCTGTTATCGTTATACCCTCGCGCAAACCTACTGCAAGCTTATGGGTGTTAACGTGTACCCCCCCCCCCCTAAATTGTGGTAGGTATGGGAGCCAAAAGTGCTAAGGCCGGCCCTGAGTAGGGAATTGCTGTTATCGTTATACCCTCGCGCAAACCTACTGCAAGCTTATGGGTGTTAACGTGTACCCCCCCCCCAGTGTTCAAGGAACATTATAACAAAGCGCCCCCGAATAGCGGCTATGCGTACCCGAGTCCCTTTAGACTAAATGCTATTCGAATGTCATTTGTGGTAGTTTATTTTAGTTAACTGAAGAAGTAAGCTTACAAACGTATAGTCCATTCAATTATCTTTCATTTGATACCACATTTATCTTACAAACCCAAAATAATATATTTTTTTCTTTTATAAATCCAACCTCTCACTCTTGAAACCCGTGTCCGAATAGCCGCAGCCTTCCAAAATTATTCCCCAGTTCCGAAAAGAAGGAACATGCGCTACAGATCTGGGGAAATTTCCCAAGATCTGGTAGCATCTGGTGACTGGTGAGGCTGCCGAAGGGGATAGAGTAAGAGTTAGGCAGTTTCATTTACTGAGTCAAAGGGTATTTTCAGGACAAATTAGCTGTTCTGCATTTGATTTTACGGTAACACTATTGTTTTTTAAATGAATTTGTTTGTGTGTCTATTTAGATACCAAATTATCTACCACTATCCTGCTCCTCCAACCCCTTAATAATAATACTATTAATATTATTAATTATTATAAGTTAAGTAACGCTGCACCCTAAAAAAAAACTAATTAATAATAATAATAATTAGACCTAAGCCTACTTTTAATTAGATTAGTGATTAGTCTATTAATGTAGTATAGCCCAGGGTTTGGCAACCTACAGCACGCTTTATGCATGCCAGACTTGGCACCAGTGTTTCCTTCAAAGAAAGGGGGGGGGGTCTGTTTCCCAGAAAAAAAAGGGTGGGAGGGGCAGTGGTAATTCAATATATTTATAATTTATATATACTTGAGTTGTGCCATGGTCGATCATGAAAATACTGCTCCTGAATTTATTGAAAATGTGCCACTTTGGGCAGACCATTAAAAAAAATACGATTTTGGTGCCTTTGTCACTGTGAAATACATTAAATTTTATTATTTAATTCATTAAGCCTAAGCCCTGTGATGTTGGCCTCCTTTGTTCTGGATGGCGTGTTCTTTTAAATTAAACAATTACCTACTTATATGTAACAAAATTTTGTGTTTGGGCATATCAATCGTGCCTAAACCGTATCATTATTATGTTTTCAGATCACTTCAAGAATCATGTTGAGATCTTTACATACCAGCAGCTTCAAATATATATCTAGATTTGTTTGTAAAATTGATACATTTGAAAATGTTAATAGGTAGGTGCAGCTAAGACTAAAATACAACTTTAAAAGTCATCATTATTTGATAAATGTAGAGTGTGAGACTTTGCAGGACATTTTTCATTTGATTTATTTTGTATTATTATTATGTACCGGTAATTAAATAAAAAATATATTTGTATATCGTGATGTGATTTTCTTGTTGTTGCACAAAAGTTTTATATCTAAGATTAATTTTAATTTAATTAGATGTTATCCAATTTTGCCCTTCAAATAATAACATAAACATTTTTTTCTAATTGCAGTAGACGGTTCGTTTCAAATCCATCAAAATGGCATGGGTTTTGGGAACCGAATGATCTGGTTAGTATTATAGTCACAAGCAGGTTGATTATTCAGTGGTGTCCCCCAGTCAGGTAAACTTGAGTTTTCAGCCCAGTGGGCTGCACCCCCCCTAGTGACGCCACGATGGTTTATATCTATAAAACACATTTAAGACTATTCATCAGCATTAATTTTATCACAGATTTTATTTGAAAATGATATTGAAAGAAAATTACAGTTTTATATGATAACAAAGCTTTTTTGGAACTTTCTCTTACTCAGAGTAAAAAAAAATATTCATTACCAACTTTGTCTGTTTTAAATTTTGATCTAAAAATAACAAGAATGATTAAAGTAATTTCCTATACCATAAGTGCCATACTCAATTTGGTGCCGTATTCTTCATTTATGTCCTTTAGAAACTGGAGCCAGATGTTCCCGAGTACAAGGCCATTCATATTCAGGTGAAGGGTTACGACTTTCCAGTGTTAGAATCATATTCTAAATACATTCATCAATTAGTGAAGAACATTTTCAAGCTGGAGTCAGATTTGTAAGTATAAATTACAAAAAGGTGTTTCGGTTTCTCAGCAAATTTCAAATTTGTCTATCTAGAATATTTTTTTTCTACCAAAAATTTTTAGGCTCAGTTTTTATTTCTGAAATCACAGTTTATTTAAGGTTTCTTATGTTTAAAATACTTCAATGCATGATTAAGACATGCAGTACCGGCATGTTCTTTGTGACTGATTTATTAACTACACACCAGCAAGGGTTATATATTTGAAAGTTTGTACCACTAAAATAAACTGCTAAATATCCATGTGCCCCCAAGATGCATATTTTCCCCCCAAGATGCATATTTTTCCAAGTCCAAATTAAGTGTTTATAATCAGAGGATGAACATAATAAAATTAAATTATATATTTTTAAAGAAATATAATATACAAGAAATGCAGTGTGTTAATTTAAAGTAAATTATTCGATACCGGTATTAACAATTATTGCTTTCTTTTATTCACTACTGATATGATGGCGGACTTACCTCATTAAAAATATCTTTTAACTCAATTTGGGAAAGTGTGAATGTCTGTAATTTTTAGTTTATTTTGCAACATAAACTCTTCTGTTTGGAAATGGCAGTAAATTGGCTCTTACTTATATCCTTATATGTTGAGAACTCAAGTCTAAAAGCTGCCTTTATTTTGTCAAGTAAAAGCTGAGATTTACAAAAAAGCATCTGAATATGCTCAATAACCCAAGTTCATATATTCAAATCTGTATTGATAAAGGAACCTATGACTGTAACACAAAAATTTGGTTAAAAACCTTTCCACTAGACAACCATCAGCTAACTTCTGTATGCCAATATATAACTCAATATTCTAAATAGTTTGAAATTAAGTGCACAGAAATTAATAGTTTACCATCTTTACTGATTGGTTTAGAGTAGGAGAGTTCTTAAAACTAAAAAGGGCTATGTTTATCAGAAATAAAATTCTAATTCTAAATTAATGAATTTAAAATCTCAAATTATTTGTAAAAAGTAAATCACAGGTAAATGCACAATGATTAATTACAATGGAGATACCAATAGACAGTTAAATGATCTGATGAAAATAGGGGATCGCTCAGAGAAATTACATTCAAGTAATAGCACTTAGTATCTGTAAAATTTAGGAAGAACATTATGTACCACAATTTGATTATGCCCATTTTATTGGTAAACTAGAAGTAAAGGATATTCTTTCATAAGTTTCACTGCGGTTTTAAATCTAAGGTACCTGATAGATATTATTTTAAAAGAGATTCTTTATAAAGCTTGGTTAAATTCTTTAATTAAGTAAGCCCTCTGGTTGCTTTATTACTACACACTCATGCTCAGGCTGTGACAAAATTGATGGCATTTTCATTTAATGTATTTCTATCATTAGTTTATTCAATACATTTAGGAAAAAAAAAAAATTAATGACATGCTAGTAACTAGTAACCTTAAAATCATTGTAACACTTTCAGATGGGCATCACCTGCTAGAAGCACAGAAGCTAGAACATATCATCCCAGGTCATCAACAATAAATGAAAAATACTCCCTTATTAAATATGACAGGACAGTTATGGTATGCAAATATTATTTAGAAATATTTTTGGCCACAATGTTTTTCACTTTTATTTCATCCACTAATATGTGCTCACATTTCTGAAAATTAAAATCCCTTTTAAAAAAATTTATTCATTTTGTAATATTTATCTAATTTTGTCTTTTTTAAAAATATTTCTAAATGCATTTATATATTTTAGGTAGAAAATGTTGCAACGACCACAGTTCCCATTTTGTTACATTTTATCAGAAAACATTGTCCAGAAGGGGTGGAAGTGACAGTGAAAGAGGTATGGCTGTTTCTTTTACTTTTAGGTTTGAATAATATTGGATTGATTGTTCAATATTATATGAGTCTTGAAACCTTAATTTATTAATTGGTTGTTTGAACAGGATAATTTGACTTACTTATGTCCACTTTTACAGAAATTAAAATTGAATTTTAAATTAAAAGTAATAGAGAAAATGAATCATTTAAGAGCAGGTCCAAAGTTAAATGTTCACCAAAATTTTTAGTATCTTTTTAATGAAAAGTTATATAAATATATATATTGATATGTTTTTAAGGGGAAAAGTAAAAAAAATATACCTTTGGGAAATCATGCCAGATTTATATTACATTATTTTGTTATAATTTCATTTTAAGCCTAATCCTGAGGATGACGAATACCGATATGTACCAGACTATGATGTTTTGGGATTGCAAGCTGAGAAAGAGGCATTAGCTTCTGGGAAATTGAGAAAAAAATAATACCTTCAATCAAATTATGTTTGTATGAATGAATTTTATGAAAGCTTTAATAAATGATACACTTTTTAACAAATCACATTTTTGCATTAATAATTCCATTAGATTATTATTTTTTTAAAAAAAACATGAACTTTTCTAAAGGAAAGTGACTTTTTTTGCATAGATAATATATTGATGGCCCCCTTTTAGATCATATGATTTAAATAGTCACAACCAATAAGATGCAACATTAAAATTTAACAATTCCAACAAGTTTTCAAACAATGCCAAAGTGTATAACTTTCACTTTTCCACTTCCTCCCCCTTCATCTTGTCTTTCTGTTTCTTCCTCATCATCATTAGGATCTCCATTAAGAGCTCTGGGCCCTGAAGGAAATTTAAAAAAAATTTTTTTTTTAATAAGAACACAATTCCAGGCCAAAATGTTAGTTACAGCAGGGGTCAGGAACCTATGGCTCACGAGCCAGATGTGACTCTATTGATGGCTGCATCTGGCTCGCAGACAAATGTTATTTTAAAAAAAGTTGCATTAATGGTAAGAAATACTCATTATTGATTAGCAACAGCATAACAATGTTATTAAAAAGAATTCAGAGACATAATTATTGCATTTTTAGTGTTGAAATTACACAAAATGCACACATTTACTTGAACGTTTAGTTTTAACACAATGTATGGCTCTCACAGAATTGCTTTTCAAAATATGTGGTGTCCATGGCTCTCTCAGACAAAAAGGTTCCCGACCCCTGAGTTACAGGAAGTAAATTTATTTCAAAATAAGTACCCTAATCCTAAGAACTAACCATTGTTACTAGAGTCCATAAGAGCCGCAGTGTAATCTGTGATTAAATCATCATGGAGTCGCATGTCACCCAGGTCAGGATAGGATCTGTATGATAAAGAATAATATTTTGAAACAGTGACTCACTGTCAACAGCTTAATTTTAATTCATTTATACACCTTTAAAGTAAATGATTTAAAATAATTGTGTCTCACCTATTAATCCTTAGCGGTTCTTAAAATTGATGATTGAACTTTATGAATACTAACCTAACATTTTTCTTTACTGTAAGTGTCAATATCCAAATTAAACAACCCTTAAAAATAAAGTTTTTCGCATGACTATTTTATAAGCATTTTTTTGGGTCATTTATGCCATTGTAAGTGATTTATCATTTATATGATTGTAGTAACACATTTTTGGTATGGGAATGGTTTTTACCAAACTTAGTGCATATAATAGTCTAAAAATAGTATATTAAAACACAAATATGTCACTAACACAAAGCACATAGCAAAAGCTACACAATTAATCTCCACACCAAAACACGCACCCATTTGATAGAATGTGTTGTCATAGGCAATGAGTCCATGTGCCAAGTTTCATCTCAACAGGATGACAGGAAGTGGGTCAATGAGCCATCTGAAGATTTCGCCACAAACACATGAACAAAAGTGAAATTAATATAAAGAATTTTTTTAAAAACATACCCGTCAGCAAACTGGGGCTCTGTTCTTTCTCGTCTTCCAGACAATCTTTCCCGAGACTTTGAATAATATTCTTGTTGCCAGGGATGCTGCCTTGAACTTGGAAGCTAAGTAAATAAAAATAATTGTTTTGCTACAACTAAAATTGTATAATGTCCAAGGTTATAATTCTTAAACCACCCAGAGGTCAACACACAAACAGTTTTAATTGCCCAAGGCTTTTAAACACATACTATCCAAAAATCGGACATCATCTATTAGACAATCTTTACAATCAATTGTAAACAAATTTTTTAGCGCAAGGATTGCTACTTTTCTTGCAACAAAATCTAAAACTTGCCTTTCTCCTTAGAAAATTTAAGTGTTTTTAGTTATTTTAAAACTTTATCTATGTCTGACCTCATCTAAATAACGCTCATTTTCATCACAATTTCTCTGCATATTATTAATAGAAGAGTGACGAGTGGCAAGAAGGTAAGGGTCAATATCAAAACCATCCAGTGTGTCTGAAAAACAGAAAATGTAAAACTTTATAAATAAGCATGGAGTTATAAAATATTGCTTAAAACTGATTCCAAAATTCATTTTATTTTTATAATGCAGTCAGTTAAACATTTTCTCAGTAATTAAAAAAAAAAAACTTAATAGATTCAAGGCTGGGTTAATTTTTTTGTTGATCACTGTTATAATTTTCTATTACTAAAGCTTGCTAAATTGGCATTTAGAGTAAACCAATGCACAGACTTGATAATTATATTTTACATACTCATTTGTGACCAATTTTTAACACACCTAGCCCTTCAGATTCAATCTGTTCAGCCTTTCGTTTCGATACTTCTGCCAGTGCTGCTTCTCCTTTGTCTGCTGCCATGTAATGAATGTCCTTAGAAAATTGGAACAAGAAAATAATCTTTTAATATAAATGAAATTTATTTCAGTTGAAAACACTAAGTTAAAAAATAAGGTTTGCATTTGGGGTTTAGAGTTGACAACTCTTTTTTTCTTTAAATTAAATATGCAATTAAAGAAGCACAATTCTATAAAATTATATCTTTTGTCTCTAATGTTTGACAGCAACATCCATTCCAGCAACTTTTTAAGAGCATTCTCTGTTCTCTGTGTGAATGGGGATTCACTTATTCATGAAGGGAAAAGAAATGTAAAAAATGTGTCCTCAACTTGTGACCCCACAAGAAAGCCTTTGGTACAATGTGTAGAATGAAATACTAATGGTTTATTGTAATTCAATTTTTCGGTACGGAATGGGGCTTAACACAATAAAACAAAATGACAAGGGATCACAAAGGAAACCAGGGCAAATAAAACATGGAAGAGAAAGTGGAAAGATTTATAACAAGCCGCAGAGAATAGAATATCTTAAATACACTGGAGTACCATGGGAAGGAAAATGTGTATTATTTCATTTTAAGATGATTAACAAGTGAAAAACAACAGCATCAGATATTATTTAAAGAATTTTTTTACCATAAAAAGATCTCTTGCTCCTATGTCGACAGCAAGTAGAAATGCTTTGTCAAATCGAACATATCTGTATATAGAGGTGGCAGATTTAAATATTTTCTTGGCTAATATAATTAGACTTCTAAGTCACATCACACAACAAACTAGTAGAAAGCAACTGTGATGGTCTGGAAATCATTTTCATTTAGAGTTGGAAACCTCTTCAAGAAATTTAAGTACAATACAAAAATATCAGTGAATAATACGGAAAATAGGTAGATATTATTGCAGATAAGAAATCTTGTCCAAAATTACTGGAGCGTGTCGTAGAGAAATGTTCTACATATAAATCTAAGTATAATGATTTAATAATCAGTTGTAACAAAATATTATTATAACATATCATTACCTAAGTAAATGGTGAAAAAATCTCCGAGCCAACTGACTTATTGGGTCTCTGTATTCCAAAATGGTTGCCTCTGATATTCCAGGTTTTGGTGCATAAAATGTTGCAAGTGCTGCCTCAAGCTGTGCTATAATAAAGCTAAAAGTTAAAGTTAAACTATAAAAAAATCTTAGTATTAAAATGCTGTTTTACAATTTTGAAAATTGTATATATTTATATATTTTCAATAAATTATTTATTTCTGCAATAAATTGTAAAAGGAATTCATCATTAGTAAGGAAGTTAATTTTTAATTTGAAAAGTCAAGGCCTTAAATAAATACAAACATGAATGTTGACAAGATTTTTAGAACTAGGGCTACTCTGTATGGTATAAATGCACCTTCGTTTACATTGATTCTTAAAAGCAAAGTTATAAAAAAAATATTATTTTCCTGTTTAAAAATATAAAAATTAAAGAAATTGTTTTAATTTTTATGAAAATGAATGAATTTTAACAATCAAAATAGGGAATACAATATACTTTGAATATCCTATGAATTATAATATCTGAAGTTGAATATCAGTATGTTTTAACTTTCAATGCCACCCCTACGGTCACCATCATTAATCTCCACAAGCATCAAATTCTATTGTATAGGTAATAATTTTAAAGAATGTTTAAAGTTATGTTTAACCACATAATCCTCAACTTTTGCATTAATTTCAGTTGATTCTACTCTGGCATGGCCAGTACCATGTCAGCATTTGGAAGGACGAAAAGCAACACATTTGGAGGCGTGAGTTAACTCAACTGTAAGTTGATCCTAAAAAAAATTTGTTGCAATAAAAAAGGAAAGCAATTACCTTCTCTTTCAGCATTTAGAGGGATCCTTAAAAGGTAATTCACAATAACTGACAGACAAGCATAACAGGATTGCCCTTCATTGTCCCAATTCATACTAGTGAGTAAGCTGACAGCCTGTAAACAATGTTACAACAAATTTACAGTTGCCTAAAAAAAAAACATCCACACTATTCTACTACTCTGAGTGTCTGACCAAACACCATACATGGAGTTATAGATGCCTCATGTATCATCAATCAGGACATCACATGCAATTGCAAAAAAACATTTAAGGGCTAATGATATTAAACCACATTTTAAAAAATAGTTGCAGGCTTTGAGGAAAAGAAGGAAAATTCTACTTAGAATCCTAGAAGAAGCCTAAATCCTTTTTTTTTCCAGCCCAGTCATTTAGCTAATGTATCAGATGCATTTTCAAGGGTGAGGATTTTATTTGCAAATTTAATTGCAATCACATCTATTTTACAGAGCAAGTAAAACAATGACACTTGGTGCTTGGGTTTTCAGAGTAATCAAGAAATTATCAAGAAGTTTTTGATCCCGCGGGTTGGCATGTATGTATATAAGATTCTTACATTTCATATCTTTAAAAAATAATTTGAACCATTTTTCAATGCTATAAAAGGGAGAAAAATGTTATTATTTGAAAAGACTGGGTTACATAAATTTTATTTAACAGGATAATTGGTTACAGCAAGGAAGAATTGAGTAGCTGGTATAAACTCAAGGGATGACTGGAAAACAGCAAGGAAGATTTGAGTAGCTGGTATAAACTTTGGGATGACTGGGCTGGCAAACTGAGAGTTAGACATCGTCAAATGTTTTGAAGAAAAAAAAATTTCATATGTCTTTTTGATACACAGAGTATCAAATAAACCTTCGTCTCTCAAAATCTGATGGATGCCAATTACTGTGCAACATTACTGTCAATTTTCATTTATTTTTCTTTCTAATGTTCTTGATTTACTAAGGCAGCTTCAACTTAGCTGGAAAGACTACAAGTATTTTTACACAGAGAAACCATCGTTAATGCAATGTCAAGTTGAAGCTGTCACCTGACTTAGGTCGTTAAATTTTGTTTAACACAAAAGCATTCCAGCTGACTATTTGCCCATGTCTTAGGATGACATGGAATGAATGCACACCTGTTACCACTTGGTTGAGTGGCAATGCCACCATTGCATGATGCCAAGCCAGACTCTGGAGGCAATTTTCTAGATTAAATTCAACTCTGCAAAATATTTTATCCCATATGTCTTACCTCATCAATCTGTTTGTATTTAACGTACTCTTTTACCATCTCTAAAGCAGAAAACCTTTCTCTACTTCTAACACCTAGGTGAAATTGTAGCAAACCAACTGGACCTCTGCATTGTAAGAAAAAGTCATGATCTACTACACTGTGCCAAAGTATAAAATATAAATAAATCTGTGGTGTAAAAAAAAAAAGTTTTGTCATAGCATTGAATAACAATTTCCATGAAAATTACTTCTACCACCAGCTTAACGTTCTCTTATCAGGTGACTAAGAAGCTTAAGCATAGATTTATTTTTTAAAAAGACTTTTACAAAAAAAATTCTTTGTTTTGTTTTAAATGTTCCCTTACATAATAACTTTAATTAGTAACTTTAAATAATAACTTGAAACAGTAACTTGAAATAGTAATTTAAATAGCAACTAAATAGTAACATGAAATACCTGCTGAAGGAAAGGAAAACTGCATCCATTGAGGTAGTCATAAACTCAGAACTATGGGGTGAGAAGGGGCACCACTCTATTTGTCTCAAAGTTACTGACGTTCTATGAAGTAACAATACAAATATCCAGTAGTTTGTCATCCATATATTACGTACATAACGCCCTCTCCCTGTTGATCCTGTACATTTTTGGACTCATTTACTTCTACGTACATACAAATGAGCTTCTACCCCACCCCAAACAATTTATTTATAGACAATTATGCCATACAAGATAATAGGATGTTACCGTAAGCCGCTTTAAAAAGTTATGATGTAGGTTTTCTCCCCTTTTTGCGACAGCTGCTAGCTGCGGTAAGTATGGAAGTACTTAAATTGTATCTTAGTTGACAATCTTTGGTTCAGCCAAATGAAATAATTATTTCACCAATGATGTCCCCTGCACGGAACCATATGGTGGACTTAAGTTGTCAAAAAAATTGTCACTAGGCCAAACCTTACTGTTGTAATGACTAGCAAGTTGCATTGTATAAAATTCTATTACCTTTTAAAAATAATTAATAATTATGGATTTCACAGAACTGTAGATGACATTTGGCTGTATAAAAGATTTTAATAGGCTATATATGCAATGGACTGTCAAATTCTGCAGAGACCCCAACCCCATCCTCTCATACACCTGTATCCAAAAATTTACTAAATCAAACACCCCCCCCCCTCCACCCTCAGTGCATACATAATATGTAGATGACCCCTGCATAAATAATAAAAAAGATTCTTTCCAGTTAAAAAGCCATACAGTACATCAACAACTCTTTTCAGTTGTTTTTTTTAACTAATGAGAGGAATTAAATTTTAGCGTTAATGTAAAGAGTTTTAACCGGAAGATATTTTGAAATTCATACAGCTAAAGAAATAGAAAAAGCAAAATTTATTAAATTTAAACTGCCTCATTCCACATGATTACCAATTCTTAATTGCTCTTAAATTATTTTTTCAATTCATTTGGTAGAACTAAAAAAAAATTTTTTTGAAATGAGGAATATAATTTTTAACAAATAGTAGCCATATAAAATAAATTGCATCAACAAATTTTATGCAGAATGAACTCACCAGGGATGTTATTAATTTCTCATACAGCTTTCACAATAATATTTTTAAGTTCTATGTATCATTTTGAGATTGTCTTAACTTCACATGACCAGATTACTAAGTAACCATATAAGCTTGAGTTACATGGACATTTTATAATCACCAGCTGTTATTAAATGTAACACAATCCAGAATGTAACTGGCACATCCAGAGGATTAATAACAAGATCAGTCAGGGAAAAATTACCTGAAAAATTTACTGACTCTGAGAAATTTGTCAGGGGATGGCTCTTCGCTCACAAGCTGAATGCGCATGGGTGATAACGCTCTATCAAACAGCTGAAATGGAAGTAACAACATCACAAAATTGTTTACTCAGAGAATGCCTGATTATTCAGAAGATAGATAACTGCCAGTGATATCATATAAATCGAAGACCTCCGATAAATTTATGATATAGTTAGACACATTTAAACAAAAAAGAAAATGTAAAAAAAAAAAAAAGCTTTTCTAATTTTCTAAAAGTAAAATAGTAAGTTCAATCCCTAAACATGTTTGGAAAGCTGTAATTGGATTTTGGCTTTGGAAGTTATGAAATTGCTGAGAAAAATATAATTACTGCATTGATTTACATGAGACAAATTAGGAAATTTACCTGTATATCAGCTCTAGCACTCGCAACAAGGAACATTGATGCATTGGGATGCCAGGAAATGCTTGCTGGAGGCTGGAAACATATACAATGTATACACAATGTGTAAATGTACAAAACTTTACTAATTCTATTTTTATAAAAATTTCAAAAGTTGCTACTTATTGAAATATTTATATTAAAAAATGTCTAAACTGAGAATTCAATATTAATGTTTGCTAATTTTGAAGATGAAACTTATGTCCAGATTAAAACATATTTTACTGAAGTCACAAACAAAAACAAAACTTAATACAAGAATAAACTTGACTCACAACAGCTGCTCTTGTGAAGAGTGTTAGTTTCCTGTGTTCATCATACATCACCTGATGATGGAGAAGAGAGAATTATGAGTGGCTGTTTCTTTCATTTGCAATAAGAATAGATGTATTCTAACATTTCAATTGAGACAATCAGCTCTCCTTTAACAATATGTCTGTCAAGAGGTGTGATTCGTTGTTGCTTTTTAAAAAAAAAATTTTTTATTAGTAAAGAGTAAAGTGATGAAACTGATTAGATAAATGTATCTAAACAGCCAATTACAGTTTAAATCTGACTGCAAGCTGCATCAACAAAGAAATTTCAGATACAACAATTAATTTTATGCCTCATTAAGAATTTTACCTTCATTTTAGATTAGCAATATATGATAATATAGTAGCGACTGTGTTCAAGCCATGTTAAATAAATATTATAATCCAGGCATATTGCAGCGTGAATTACAGAACAAGACAATCCAATTAATGCCTCCCTCAGCAAATGCAACAATACAAAATACAAGAAAACTAGATAAAAAGGAAATGAAAACTTAGCAGGTAAGTAGCTTGATATGAAGTAGCATATAAATATACACATAAACTGCACCAAGGACCAAACAGGAAGTGTATGCAGTCTAAGAGGTATTGGTAACGAGGTAAATTGGAAAAAGTTTCAGAGCTATTTCATCACAGGCCCCACAGCAACTGTGTATACAGGCCCTACAATAACTTATGTATGGCCCCCCCCCTCTAAAACCAACAGTTACGTAACTAAACCAGTAAAAATCATGTAAACCTGATTGTCATAACATTAGTTTATAAGTCCACATGGTAGTTTAATGACAACACGGCTCTACACTCTACAGTGTGCTCTGAAACTCTTTCTGTGGCACATATTCTCTGCGAAAAATGTTGATAAGCTCATCAATGTCCGTTTCATTTGCGTGGTCATTTTCTATGCTGAAAATGGCTAAAACAGATAGACTATCTTGCAAAGTGGTACTACGGTAGATAATGTTTGATGAGCTTATTAAGCTTTGAGAACAACCTCTCTGTTTGCTGCTACAGTTACTGATTAAGTGAGGAAAGTGATGTAGCAAAACAACCATTTTCAATTATAAACAAACAAACAAAATCATCCCCTTCTTTAGGGCTGAAATTTGGTGTCTGACCAACATAATCTTTTAACCACCTACTCCCTTTAGACATGAACAAAAATAAAATCACTGACATTTCAGTTCACACAGCTTTAGTTGAAAAGTTATGTCTATGGATGAAAAATACATTAGAATTTAATTTTCTAAGCAACATAAGCTAATGAGACTTACTATAGTGGCATCAGATAAGCCCAACAGCAACTTATCTTCATGGGGACTTCTTGCCTGGCAGACAATGGTACCTAAGGAAATGGCAACGTAAATATAGATCTTACCTTTAAGGTGGAAAATAATGTTGTATTACTTAAATTAGAAATGGAAGAGATTTATTCAATGTAACTTTCAGGATAAATGCAAAAATGATAGATTTTGAGATCGACGGTACTGAAAGATAGAAAGACCATTATACATTTCATTCACTCGCAAGTCATAATCTGATATAAGACATATCTCTGTGGGTTTCTAATACAAACTTTTCAAAGGTATGTTGACAACTGAAACAGTCTGAATCTGAAATGGAGATCAAGAAAAAAATCTATATGTGAGTTTTATTAGATTGATAAATGCCTAATAAATGGTAATTGTATTGAGTTAACATACTAAAGCAGGGGTTATTAACCAAGGGGGCCTGCACACCCTGGGTGTGCGAGATCCAGAAACTCAAGTTTATTTACATTTTTATTAACATTTTAATGTGGGGTGGGGTGTGTCATGCTAAAAATATGTTTTGAAATCAAGAAGGGGGGGGGGGGGGGTTGCAAAAAAGTTAAGAGCTCCTGTACTAAAGGAAGAGTATTTCAATTATCTAGCTATAAGTTTTAATGTTAGACATTTTATTCTCAAGTTTATTTACATTTTTATTAACATTTTAATGTGGGGTGGGGTGTGTCATGCTAAAAATATGTTTTGAAATCAAGAAGGGGGGGGGGGGTGTCTGCAAAAAAGTTAAGAGCTCCTGTACTAAAGTAAGAGTATTTCAATTATCTAGCTATAAGTCTTAATGTTAGACATTTGATGAACTGAGTCTGAACAGACAAGAGAGACAGTGTACCCCCAGTTTTATTCTTTACCTGCCCTTTAATAACTTCATAAGTGCATGACCTTGCCTTGACCTCTCCATGACCTCCTATATCCTGCTCTAGGGTAAATATGCGATGAGGTTGTAGAGAACTGGAATGCAAGAACAAAAAAGACTTACAAAATGTGTAACCTTAAATGCAGTTAAAATCATTTTAAATAAAACACAACTCTATAAGCAATAATGAGAGGTAAGATTAAAATAACATTGCTCCTCTAATAAAATATCCATTCAAATCTTGGTCCTAACAAAATTAGTTGGAAAAGAGAAGAATGTAACTAATTTATCTATTTTTTTATAAAGGATTTAGCCTTCTTTCTTTTTTTAAAAATGTAAAAAAGTTGACCATATTGTACCTAAATTGAGCATGTACTGGGTCACACTGAGTTTTAGCATAAGCCATCACATCAATCATAGGGCTGAAAATCAAAATTAGACATTGGGGTAAGGCCAAGTGTAATGTTTATTTTTTTATAGCATAAATTAGAAGAAAAAAAGCATTTTAAGCTTTTAGTCAAAAGCAGTATTATTTGGTGGTTTTTTTTTTAAAAAAAGGTATTTCTCAAGACTCACCCATTGATAGAAAGTATAGTGATGTTTGCTCTCTCTTTATCATTTGACATTGGGCTCCATGGCCACGCTTCTCCACTTCCTACTGACCACCAAACTAGCATCTAGATTAAGTGAATTAGTGAAAGGATTTTATTGATGGCCCATTCACATTTTTTTTTAAAAAATCAGTTTTTTTAAAATGCTATTCCGTAAAAAGAACTAAGTGGTAACTAATGGCAACCATTCAACTCACCATGTCTTGTGAGGTATTCATTGAAAAACATCGTTCCAATCTTCTACCCTTCGGTCCTGGAATATCTATTTGAATTAACTGTGAAATAATAATATGGTGAGTGAGAATGAGTAATGATTGACTTTCAGTAAACTAATGTAAAAGTATTACTAATGTATAGTTGAGAATAATGCTGATTAATTTAAAATTCTAATGAGAAATTTATCTGGATTTCAAAATAAACAAACCACAAATATCATAATGCAATTTTAAAATCAATTATTATTTTTTTACAATAAATTTTGATGAGACTTAACAAAAATTCAAAGTGGGTAACAAAAAAAAAAACCTTTGGCTCCCAAGATGAAAGTTTGTCAAGACGTTTAGCTGCCTCATTGAGTGGGGGTCTTTTTGTAAAGTAGGCATAGTCCACCCTGCTCATGTGACAGTGGGAGGCAATAAAGAACTGATCTGTTAGGTATGCTGAAAATTAAAGAAATTCCCTTGTCCGATTTTGACACTAGGAAACAAGATAAATTTGCCACATAAAACATACAGTGTTCTTTTTCTAATTCCGTCAGCTGCTACGTTGGGGAAGTATAATGTGATCTGTTAAATCTGTTTCATAACATTTGTAATGATACAATATAAATTAACTGAAGAATTATTTATTTTCAAATAAAAATGTTTAAAATCCTTTAAATTATTATAATATTTAAACTGAACTGTAGTTATAATGATACAACTTTACTAATATCCCACCAAGGTGCGCTACTCTCATTACTGGCATTATGGCAACTCGGCCACAGAATGCGGTGGATCAAATAGCTTTGGCATTATTCTATATAGTTTAAGGAAACTGCTTAAATGCACATACACATAGAATGGAAACCCATTACTTTAAAAGCATTTTTTACCCTAAATTTTTTGCATTATATGTGGTACTATACAGTAAATGACAAACAGCAATGACAATAGAGCACAGCTCTGTCTGGCTTATGCTTTTCCCTGAAACTACTGAGAGAGTCCATTGTGCTATGCACCACAATTAGCCTGTTTGGAGTATATGTATATATACACACACACATGCACATATATATAATGTATTGTTCCAAGTATTTTCCCCTAATTTTAAAATATATGTGCAGCCTACATTTGGGATTGTGTATATAAAAAAAATAATTATATATCAATATCAAAAAGCAACAACAAATACACAGTGGTTCTGGAACATGCCAAACGTGCAGCTTGTTCTCTACTCTTAGTAAGAGGCACCTTTGCTGGTTAGGCCATGTAAAGAGAATAGATACATGCTGCATACCAAAGGACCTGTTGTATATCCAAAGGACCTGCTGTATACTAAATGACCTGCTGAACAAACAATTGGCAGAGGGGGCAAGACATATTGAACGGCTGCACTATGGAGACATGCGTAAAAGAAACGTCAAAACGAGCGAATGGGAGAGTATGGCTGATCTTTATTCTGGCTGGCAAACATCGGCTGACACACACCAGGCATGGGATGATTGAAGGAGAAAAGCCCTCGCAGCAAAGAGATCAATAAGGAAGACAAAACAAAACCATCATCAGTCAATGTTCCCCTTAAACCCTTGAATAAAAAGGCAATGACTTTTGAGTGTTTAACTTGTAGACACATCACCTTTCTTTGATATTAGTTTGCACTCTCCCTCATTATCTGGCATATAATGGATTTTCTTTTTTATAGTCTCTGTTTATGAATTTGATGTTAGGAAAAATTATTACAAGGCCTAACCTGACCAAGGATCATCACTCACCATCACAGACAGTTTCACAGCTTAACTTGCCAACCAGAGACTTGTCAATATAAATCCTTTCAATATCACCACAGTGACCACTGATGACAAATGTCACAATGCAGGCATTACTTAACAGCAGCTGTTAAAGAGTGAAGAAAAAAAAGAATTTCAAATATCATAATTAATCCAGAGTTAAATGGTTTGGCCAACTTTTATAAGACTTAAGATTTTATCAAATGCATCTCTGGTTTAATTGGTTCTTTATAAATTAAAACAAAATGAATAAAAGACTTGAAATAATTATTTGGAATATAACATCTCAGGTCTTTATTAAGTTCTAATTTAAGTGGTAATTTTTTGATGCCATACAGATTTGATTTGATTTACTTATTCTTTCCAAGCAAGAGAAAATGCAGAGGAATAAATGTATGAACTTGGCTATATGATTTTTTGTGTGGATGGAATAGACGGATTTGGTTTTGAAATGTAAATCCTGTTTATTTTTTAATTGTTGAAAGATGTTCAATCAACTTTGTTTTCTCATATGATTTGGTCACTATGTCTTTATCTGGCAAGCTAATTGAGAACTTACATGTTGCTCTGCGCAAATTGTCACAGGCAATATGATTTTTTAATACCCAAGTTGATTTTCCAAACTACCATATATTCCTGCTTATAACACAGTCGACAAAAAATGCGAACCCCTAATTTTATGTTTGAAAAAAAGCCCCAAAATGCCATGTCCACGTATAATGTGATCAGTTAATCTTGTTCCATAACATAATTAATAATAGAATACTAAAATTTACTAAATAAATATTTCGTTCAAAATATAAATGTTGATATCCTTCAAATTATAAAATTTTAAATGAACTGTTACACCTATACTGTCACAGAACGGTTGTTACGGAGGAGGGCTCCGGTCCTGACTTAACACAAACTATGTTGACTTAGTAGTGGTCAGTACAGGACCGCTCCTCTCTGTGATTTATATTGTGGGTGTCTAGGCATTGAGACAGACAAAAGCACAACGTAGACTTGGACGAAATGCAACAACTCAAACTCCTGGTGTCCAACGATAATGAAAGTGTGTTTATTTGTAAGATATAAGTTCTTCCAGTCATCTGTCGTCTCCTGATCACTAGCAACTATTCCCTAACAACTGCTTGATTCTATCGTAGCTCTTTTCTCTTCCTCAACTACGTCGTACCTCTGTTCCCTCTTCCTCAACTCCCTTAACTCAGTGAAAGCTCCCTCTTATATGTGATTCTCTACCCCCCATAGGTGGTCCAGGAATGCTATCTATAAACACACCCATGCCCCCTAATTTCCGGTCAATTAGACCTTCCCATTGTTAACCCAAAAATTATCATGCGAAGTCTGGAAAACCCGAACATACTATTATCCAAAGAAACAATCCCCCACTATATCAAGATGTGAGAGTCTATTAACCTTAACTTAACCCCATTAACAGCAGTTACCTTCCATCCTATAAGTTACTTTAACAACAATGGAGCTCTGTCCTATACCCCCGCCCCAGTCATTTGTGACATATACAGCTATGCTAATATCCTGTTAAAGGGCACTACTTACATTGCTGGCTATATGTGCAGATAGGTAGTGGGTTCGGTCGCAGAAAGTAGATTTGATTGTACAATATCATTTCATGAAAAACTACTTAAATTACGAATAATGCAAACCCTTAATTTAAAGGGCACTACTTACATTATTGGCTTTATGTGCAGATAGTAAATGGGCTCGGTGGCAGAAAGTAATTTGATTGTACAAAAAAATTACTTTACATTACGAATAATGCAAACCCTTAATTCTAAGCAGAAAATTTTCACATCATATGCAGTCATATACTGTAGGAACATTCATATTTGGATAAAACCTAAACAGGTTTTTTAAATATCGGGGCGTATCTAGTGTTGTAGTTAGGGTTAGTGCTACCCCCTCCACGAAAAAACTGAGCATTTGGAAGAAAATACAGCCTTTCCATATAAAGAAAAAATTACCGTCCCCTCCATGTCCACGCTTCCTAAGCCACTGAGCACATTTTACAGACATATATTGAGACAAGCACGCTACGTGGTAAGGCAATAATTTAAAATTCATATTAATCAACACTAAAATAATAGTACGTATAAGAATTGATAAAACCATAACACTAGTGTGCCTTGCCACACCGATTGCATATCTCTAATAAACATTACCTGCAAAACTTGCCTGTTCCTCCACCTTATATGAACACAGGTAAATTGAGCAAATAGTTCCTGAAATTGAAACTATGCATCAGATTAATTTATTCAAACAAATGCATAAATGATTAGTGCTGAACTACAGAGAGAGAGAGAGAGAGAGAGGGTGAGGGGGGGGGGGAATGACACAACTTTCTCCGAGTAAATGTTTCTTTTAAAAACTCCACAATGTTATACCAATATTTTTTTGAAGCATTCGATTGTATTAACTGAGACTATTACCTCAACTTCTTTAATGCAGTCTCTGAGTCTTTCTGGCCTTTTATTTCTCGGGGTCCAAATAATATCTCGACCTGGTAACATGGGGACACATTAAATAGTACCTTATGGCATAAATGTTATCCTCTCAACTTTTTTTTTTTTTTTTATTCTACAAGCCAAGCCTCATTAAATCACAAGTCACAAGCATTGTTGACACAGGAAAACTTAACTGACAGTCATCAAACATAATTGTACCAGATCACATTCTTACTAAAAATGAGACAGCAGCTCACTGATTTTCAAGCAGTATGATGTGAACGATTAAAACTTCATTTAGATAAAGATCAATCTAATTTATTAATAAAAGGGCTTAAACGTCCTCTGGAATGCTCCATTAAATTAAACAAATTTTACTAGGATATTATTACCTTCCACAAACTGTTGTTTTTCTTCATTGTAGGGTTGCTCTTGCCTGTTTACTGTTAAAGAAATATTGTAAACAGAATGATGTCTCTGTAATTTGTGTTTACAATTAAGTGTTAAGAGAAGACAATCGAAAAAGTTATAATTTTACAAAACTCAAAACCGTATTGCCATTTTTTTTTTTTTATTTTTGCAGATTAATAACAGGATTTTCAAATAACTAGAAGAAAAATGAAATGATGCTGTTAGTCTTCAAAAGCTTTTTTGTCACTCTTTAGCACATCTACATGCTTTCCTTTCCTCCAAAATTCAATGGAGTTTACATGGAACTCACATACAACCAGTGTAGCTGAAAGATGGCAAAATCAGCTGACTTAATTTGTGTTATCATGTTAGAGATTTCCTCATTCCATAATTTCCTCATTCTCTTACCTACACCTTCTATAAATAACAAGAAAGTCTTTATTTGTTAACAATTTAAAAAAAGAAAATTTCATACGATTTTTTAGAAAAATTTTTATACTATGCTCGCTAGAAACTCGTATTTAATATACAGCCCCCTATATTTTTTTAACATAAGCAAACTTACCTAATTCACCTTTGTCATGATAACAGTGAAACCCAATGACATCATCTAAGAAATGAAAAAAGGAACCAATATCAAATCAAACAACCCCTACAAACATAGTTTTTCATGTAAATCCTTTAAAAAATGTAATACTGAGAAATGGGGGATGGGAGTTGAAAATTTGACAAAATATGCATATGAGTAACGCACTTTACAAGAATCCCAATTAGTGCCCCCCCCCCCCCCCCCCCCCCCCCCCCCCCGCATAGGTTTCACAACCGCACATTTTTTCACGCCCCTGAACTAGATTAATATTCTAATAACCCTAGTTGCAGACCAACTATCGGAAAGGAAAGTCTGCAATGACAACAGAACACATAATATAATAGTCTTTGCTACAGGAAAAGGAATTTAAATTTCAAAACAGTGATCATGTGAATGTGTGTATGATGACTACATTTCCTCCCTGTGTAACTTAGACTAAAAGTTGATAAGACTTCCTGATACTAACACTAACCTGGTATTACAAAATGATTTTTTAAAGACCATATGTGTAACTCGCACATACAGCTCGCCATGGGACCTAGAGTATTTCTCTCTAATAACTTAAACTCCTTTAAAACATTTCGTGACCCAGCGCCTATACTACATATGATTTGACATTTGTTTATAGTTATAATGATGCTGATCACACTATTTACCGAGTTCAGCAATAACACCTAGATCAGTGCTTCCCAATCTTTTGAGTTTAGCGGACAGGTGGACACGTTTCCTTTAGTACTTTAGTACCAGGGACAGGTGTCAGATTTAATAATTATTTATTACTAATTATTTTTATTGGACTTAAAATCGGGCACAATATATTCTTATCTATCATCAGCCAATTCGATAGTTAAGTATTCCGTTCGACCAAAATCAAATTTCCTTTCGACCAAATGTCCGTTCGACTAAGCTTACACTTACGTGGGACTAAATTTTCGTACTACCAAATTTCCACTTGAACAAAATTCTGTTCAAACAAACCTCCGTCAGTTAAATTTCCATCAACCAAATTTCTGGATACATACGGGGACATGACAGATTAGATTTAGGTGTTTTACAACAACAAAAAATGTTAGGAGCTCTCATTTTATCCGTGAGTCGTTTTAATTTATATGTGGTAATATTATAAGGCATGGTACAAAGAAGCAACTAAAAACAGCTCAGTGAAAATATTGACGGGCCTGAAAGGATAACAGTTGGCAACCAATCTTTAAATTATAAATTTTGCATAGGCTATTTCAGGTTGACCCATTGGGGTACAATTTCTTTTTTTCCCCCATATACATATTAATACGCGTCGTCTTCAGTGCCTTCAGTGTGAATTGATAAAATATAGGCTATATATATCAACAGTGGAGTACCTAGGGTATTTGGGACCCATGACGGAAAAAAAGGGGGGGGGGGTGTTGTGTTATTTGCATAAGCTATTGCTCAATTTTGGGGCTACTTTTAAAAACTTTGCAGTGCATAATTAAGAACCCTGTTTAATGCCTTTGCAAGTAAAATTCAAAAGATAATAATGATTGCAAATTCCAAAGATAGGTTTTGTGATCAGGGAATCTAAATCTCTAGCATAAAAATCCGTTTTGGACCTAGCACAGCACACGATTATTTTAAAAATCCACTCACAGACTCACAGTATGCTTTCATATGTTTTTTTTTTAAATTAAAAACTTCTGAGTAAGCTAACCGATTTTTATTAATTTTTTTTTAACACAAAGTGGTTTATCACATTTAATTTAATATGCTCGAATAAATAATATATTATTATTATTATTTCTTTCCATACTAAATTAAATTACCTGTTTAACAAGTCTTCAATAAAGAAATCATGACACTTTATTGACACATTATTAAAACTACGCATTTAATGTTCTTGCTTTCACTAATGCGATGGTCTATGATGTGCTCAAAGTCAGTTTTCTCAGTTCCTTCCCTTTCTACGCTGAGTCAAACATGATCGCAGAGTCTACATGTTCCCATAGAGGCCCTTAAATAATCAATAATTTGTTTCATTTTACTGAAAGATTTATGATCTTTGGAAGCTGATAATGGAAACTGCAATGATTATGATTATCTAAATAAAAATGAGAAATTTAGGAAAGAAACTCTCATCTCCATACTGAACAATGATCTTTTAAGAAGGTGAGGTAGCGTCATACCACCGATGCGTTGAGTGGTTTCTTTCATAAAATTATTTTACACGTTGATATGTCGTAATCAAATCGAATTGAAGTCTTTATTTACATTAGCAATATTAACTTTAATCCATTAACATATCTACCAGGCTGAACAACGAATCAAACATGTGTAATGCAGCTCGCTATAAGGAGGAGAGTAGTTTACAACCATTCACTACAAATTTCTCGACTGTCCTACAAAAATGCGAGTATACAAGTGCGTTGTCTCATTTTTGTTTGTTTCACCTGTCTCAATTTTATTGTCTGTTGTATCCAGTAGGACTTGCAGTATGTTTCAAGGTAACTTTTGACAGGGTTTACTGCATATGTCCTTGCACTCCTCCACCTAGTTTCTGACTGCCTTACAACCATAGGTATGGCATGTTTAAGTTTTTACCAACGCTGTTTTGAACGAGAGAAAAACATATATAGGGATTGAATGGTTTTAAAAAGGTGCCATCAATGGTTCTGGTTTAGCTGCATGTTCACCTACCAAGTTGATCGATTGATCTGAATTGATCATCACAACTGACATTCACAGCCAGTTTATTTTTCTCCCTTATTCTTTGTTAGACATCACTTATGTGTCCAGCTATCACATCAGCGTTGTCATAGCACAGTGATTACAATATTCTAGCTCCATTTCATATTTCTCTAGCTGGTTTAAGATGTCTTGAACCAAGCTTAGTATCCTTTTGGCTTATCTGGATAAAACCAAAGAAGGAACTTTTAACACATACATCTTTCAAAATCAACTACCCCGTACCTCACTACCTCTCGCGGTGTGCTTGCACAGAAGTCGAGTCAAACATGATGCCATAATAATTGTCTCAACGAATGCTTTTCTGTAATTTTTAGCGAACATTGAATGCCACCGGGTGGATGAATTCATTTTGCACCCCAGGGGAGAGATATGACGTAGGTCCAGCATGGTCTTTCATATCAAGTGCTCTTTCACGAGAAGGTAAAAAAAAACAGCGAGTAGTTTCAATAACCCAAGAAAATTTCCCACATTGGAGCCAATATCGTCTTGCTGAAGTGATTATGTGTGTCCATGCAAAACGAGAGTTTAAGTTGCAAGGAATTGTGTGGAGTGGAGGATTCTTTTCAAGATATCCCGCCACTTCTGCTTCCCGTTTCAGCCTGTGATTGAAGTTCAATGTCAATAACTCTGCTTGCAACGCAATTTCTCTCAATTTTTTTTAGGGTGGCGCCCCCCAACCCCTTCAACAAAATGAAACTCATTGTGGTCCCTCCAGATGAGACGCTGGCACTTTCAAAATAAACGTGTTTTGGCGTCCCTTTAAGTAGCGAATATGGCATCTTACTTACCCACCATATCCCAGGCATTCAAGTTGTGTGAAAGAAATAGTAGGAAAAGATAACTTTGGAAATGGACATGTAACGTTCTAATGAGGCTGGGGCACCAATATAATCATCAAACAAAGACAGGAGTTACCGCATTGGGTAAACGATTTTAATGATACAACTTTTAAAGGTTAACTGTCCCGTTTAAATGATAACTGATGCACGTTGTTGACCAGAATCTTCACCATTTTACAATTTTAGAGGATTTATATACAGTATTGTTTAATTGTGTAAAATAACATACTGATTCCATTTCTTGATTTAAAAGTTTTATCTGTAAGAAAAAACGATCAAATTATAAGCTCATACGTAACTAAGTACATAATATCAAGTAGGGCCATGGGAAGTAAAATTTGCATCCTGGGTAAAATCTAAATTTATGTGCCCTGTTCCCCCCAACAGTAGCATATATATTTTAATAGTCACTTTTAGCATGACGATTTTCGCGATCCGCGGAAGGCACTTCCTCCCCCATGGCGTTTGGTTAAAGGGGGGGGGGGGTGCGGAGTGATTTGGTCCGTCCCTTGAGGACTTTTTATTTTTATATAAAGGGGCGGCATTTTGACCAATCGGTGAGGGGGGGGGGGGGGGGGGGGGGTAAAAATCTTGTCGTGACCCAGGTGGCTACTAGCCCTTGCTACACTACTGGCACCTATCCATTTTTTTTTTGGCACGGGCTGGATAACAACAACACCATCACTTTTAAAAAAAAACGCAGTCTTTTTCTTGGGAACTAGATTAAACTAACCAGATAGATAGGCCTTCTAACTTAAAATATAAAATCTATTACTATTAAAATACAACAAAAAATACACCTTCTAAACCTTTGCTTTCCTCTTATGTTTATTAATAAACCTACAATAAGTAAAATAAAAACTAAATCCAATCAATATCTATGACTCAGAAACGTAGAAACATGACGTAGGCCCTGAAGGACAAAGCGCGAGTCCCGTGGTCGTTTGTCTACAGTCTACGGACGAGGCATTCTTGGCGGAGTATGAGAACGCACGATACCATGATTGGGGAATGATTTTGAAAAGGAAACAAAGAGTAACCTTTTAAACAAAACGGGGAATAAAAAGAGGGATGGAAAAGATTTGTTTCAAGTGTCTCGGAGGGTGCGTCATACATTCTTTTCATACATATACAACCTGAAATTGACAGGGATGTTTAACTTTCTGTTGTGATGGTGTATTCTGATAGGGGTGCGTTTTAGAATAAATGTTACTCGGTTGTTAATTTGTCAACATTTTTTTTTTATGTTCGAAAGTTTGACGTACTTTAGGGGGTGTGAATGGATTTCTGAGTTTGCGATAGGGAGGAGGGGGGGGGGTACAAATTGTCAAACTATAGCATGATGTGCTTTATGGACGGCACCTTTCATTAAAATTACACGTATTAAAGATACAGATGACATAATTTATATCTTCATTAAATCGGTAACGACAACATAAGCAGACGAGGATGATGTTTCATTTGGAAAAAAACAACAACAATAGTTGTCTACTTTTCTTTCAAAGAGATTCATCATCATCATCATCGCCTGTCGTCCCGTCTGGGGCATAGGCCACAAACAAAGGCTCTCCAGGCATCCCGTCTTGGGCAAGTCTCTCCAACTGTCCCCAGTTGTGCCCACTCTTTTTGATGTCTGCCTCCAGTTCCCTTCTCCAAGTTGTTTTGGGTCGACCTCTTTTTCTCTTACCCTGGGGGTTCCAAGTCAGGGCTTGTCTCGTGATACTTGATGCGGGCTTTCTGAGGGTGTGGCCAATCCATCTCCATCTGCGCTGGCAGATTAACTCTTCCACTGGTTCTTGTTGTGTGCGCCGCCAGAGATCCTCGTTGGTGATGACGGTGGGCCAGCGGATTCGTAAAATCGTTCGGAGACATGAGTTGATAAAGGTCTGTAGCTTTTTTGAACCAGCTGCTGTTGTTCGCCATGTTTCTGCCCCATATAGCAAGACAGGTTTCACTGTGGTGTTGAATACCTTGACCTTGGTCTGGAGGGTCAAATTGCTGCAGCTCCAGACCTTTTTTAGCTGGTTAAATGCCGCTCTTGCCTTACCAACTCTCACTCTTATGTCGGCGTCTGTCCCTCCTTGTATGTCAATGATGCTGCCGAGGTATGTAAAGCTATCCACCTCCTCAAGGTTTGTTCCTTCCAGTGCTATAGGTGTGTTGCTTGATGTATTTATTTTAAGGACTTTGCTTTTTCCTCTGTGGATGTTCAGGCCGATGCAAGCAGAGTACTGTGCTACATAATTGGTTTTCTCTTGCATCTGTTGCTGTGTGTGTGATACTAGGGCCAGATCATCCGCAAAATCCAGGTCATCATGACCAAAAACATTGCGAGAAAATAATTAAGTTTGGAAATTAAAGTCTAGCTTATATTCAAGTGAATCAACTTAATAAAAAATCCCAATTAAATATAACTAATTTCAACCATAGAAAAAAAAAAGTCATTACCATAACAAATTAAATGAACGTAAATACAATGTAACGTAAAATAAATGGAGATTATAAAGGGGGTTACTAACTCAGTTAGCATACACAAAAAATTGAAGGACTAAATGTGTTGTTAGTTGAAAGTATTTGACAATTAAAATAATTATCTTTTTTTTTAAATGGGAAAAAGGCTGTAGGATGATATGGCATATGGTTATACTAAACGTTGCAGTGGCAGTAAGCCTACACGAATCTGTAGATAGGCCTATGCCATGACCATTCCAAGTAATATAAAATAATGTTTAAAAAATATATTTTGGTACTCTGCTGGCACTCTCTCTTCGCCCCTCTGCACATCCTTTCACATTGTCTGGAGGAAGGTTAAAATTCATGTTGAATATATATTTTTTTTTCAAAATTTCCTCAGAAAAAAATCTACAACTTAGTGACTTAGTACAACTGAGCAGCCTTGTTGGCACTGTTGGACGCGTTCATTTCATCTGTCATTAACATTGAAAAATAACTTTTTAAAAATCGAATTCGAGATGTACGGATTTCATATTCTAAAAATGGTGATTCTGGATTTGAAAATGGGAATTTTCAAGTTCCCAATTGCAAACCAAACTATTCTTTCTAAAGACTTTTTTCAACGCTTGAAATAAGTTGAAATACGACTCGCGATGAAAGTTAGACAACTGCAAATGATAAAGTAATAAAGTATTTGTTTTTAATTTTGATTATTTTAGTTAAGAGTAACATCCCTTGACAATCTTTGCAGCAACTTATTAAGTAATAAGCCTTACCTTATCAGCCTTATGTTATGGCTTATCAATCATTACGAAGTAAGTTCATTTGAACTATCAACAAATTTAGATACATTAAATTCATTACGTTCATTTGTTAAAATTGATAGAAATATATAAGGAATCATACTTTATTATGTATTATTACTATTATTTAACTTTAGGTTAATAAATAGACCAAATACGTCAACGTAGACGTAGTTTAAAAATAAAATTAACTATTAATATTAATAGTTTTTTAATAGTATTAATTTTAAACTTTAAACTTAAGTTTAAGCTATGATTAGTAATTTTAATAATAATAGTTAGTGTTAGGGTTAAAAATGGGGACGCCTGCCACTTTTTTTAAATCGAATTTCACAAATTAAATGTATCCCTAAATCGATCCCTATGCCTAACCTGAACCCTAAATCGATCCCTGCCCTATGCCTAACCTGAACCCTAAATCGATCCCTCAACCTAACCTAAACCCTAATTCACTGCCACTATAATTAACACACAAAAGACGCCATGGCAGCCGTCCTCGGATTTAGCCAGTGTTAGTATTAATTGATTATTTATTTTAATACTAAGATACTACTTCTAAGCTAAGTGAAAGTGCTATTTCTTATTTTTATTTTTATACTGTTTTTTCTGTTGTTTTGTTCGCTGACGAAGGCTTTCTCTTTCTGCCGACATGTTCGTTGTTTTGTTGCGTTCCTTTTTTAAGGTTTGACGCTACTCTGTTTTACTCATTTTATATTTTTAAAATAGTTATTTTAGTTAATGTTTGATTATTGCTGGGGACACATCATACAATTGAGTTTAAATAGTCACTGTAGATTGAAACTCATAAAATGTTATTGAATAATTCATTTTTTTTTCTATTTTTTCCAGATAGATAATCGAAGCCATCTTTTGTCTTAGTGACCTTGGTGATTTTATCGCTAATGAGCGCTCATTTATCCAGTTAAAGCAGAATGACTGACAGGGAAATAGTCCTTATTGATATGGACTGCTTTTATGTCCAAGTTGAACAAAGACTGAATCCGAGCTTAAAGGGCAAGCCTTGTGCAGTTGTACAATATAAGACATGGAAAGGGGGCGGGTAGGTTATGAAAAAATGTAGAATGTGAACATATTAATCAGGCTGGTGCATGATGTGTGTGATGAAGCCTAAAAAATTGCCTAAATGATTCAAATGACCTTTTAAACAAATGAAATCCAGATAACATTAGTATTATACTTCTAGTTGATGTAAGAATAAGGCTTAACCGCTACAGCTTTTCTACACCGGGTCTGGGTATTTTAAGAAAATACCTGGTTGGTCCAAGTGTTACAAAAATAGGATTAACTTTTGATTTCTATAAACAATAGGCCTACAGGCAGTCCTACACCCTATCTGCTTGCCTTTAAACAATAGTCCTACAGATAGTCTTACATCCTACCTGCCAGATTTTAAACAATAGGCTGACAGATAGTCCTTCACCCTACCTGCCAGTATTTAAAAAATTGTCCTTTAGACGGTCCTACACCATACCCATGGCTCTTTATTTATTAATATAATAGTTACCTCCGAAAAAATTTAACCTTTTCTATTGTACTACACCTTGCCCTTTTCTATTTTGTACTACACCTTGCCCTTTTCTATTGTACTATACCTTGCCCTTTTCTGTTTTGTACTACATCTTGCCCTTTTCTATTGCCTTTTTATTTACCTTCCTACTTTCCCCCAAGAGTTATCTTATTTTTAAGCTTGCAGCTTCTTCTTCTTCTTCTATATCTTAAGGGCCCACGATCAATTTATTAATCATTTTGGCTCCTATGCATGTAGATGTAGCTTCTCTCATACAATGCAACTAATGTGATAACCCCATTGCTACCCCATAATTAATTTTTGTTTTAACCTGCTTAGCTATCCCATGGTGTTCAATAATAGTTTAGAAAGTAAAAATTGCAGTATTTATTGACGTGTAACACACACTTTTTCTCCCTGAAAATAGGGGGCAAATGATGTGTGCGTGTTATACACCGATATAATGTTTAGTTTTTTTTCATGAAATTTCCTTCTTAAATTGAGGTGCGTGTGATACGCGGGGGCGTGTTATACGCCAATAATACAGTAATTAAATTTCCAAGGCCCTTAACCTACTACTACTAGTCTCTCAAACAACACATAGGTGCTCTCAAGATAATTTTGTTTGTGTGACAATATTCAAATTCTGCTGCTACTTTCTCTTAATAATAATATTATCCTGAACAGAATCATTGCAGTTGGATATGAAGCAAGAGCCTGTGGTGTAACTAGACAGATGCGTGGGGATGACGCTAAAGCCAAATGTCCTGAGATACACTTAGCTAGGGTACCAGAGGTCAGAGGGAAAGCTGACCTTACTAGGTATTTATATTAGACTAAAATGTACCGTACTAAAATAAGGGACCATCCATAAATAATGTCACAAATTTGTGGGGTACAATGTGGGACCTTCTGCTCATATCTTTAAGAAGTTATAGTCTGTCCTTTCACAATTAATGAAGCCCATAACAGTTTTTAATAATAACATTTTGGAAAATAATCCAGATCTATTCAAAACACATATTAGAAAAAAGGAATAAAGTAAAGAGGTTATATTATAATTAGTAATCTATAACCTGCTGAGTTGGTTTAAATTTTGAAAAAATAATCATTTTAAACAAAATATATCTTTCAGATATCGAGAGGCAGGAGCCGAGGTAATTGCAATATTTAGTAAATTTTGCACCTGTGTAGAGCGTGCCAGTATTGACGAAGCTTATCTTGATGTTACAGCAGAGGTAACCCAAAGGTTAAAGGTCATGGAAGACAGTGAAGTAAACGAGATGCAAATTCCCAACACTTTTGTTGAAGGCTATGAAGGTCCAGAAGGTATTTTATAATTGATGTTAATTGAATTTTCTAACGGACATGAAAAACTAAAATTAAATAAATTACATCTGAATATTAGTAACTTATCTAAAATTCTTCATTTATTTGAGGAAATCAACAATTTTTAAAAACTAACTCTTTGTGTTATTTTTACTCAATGATTTACTGGTGAGAAAAACACAAATACAGTTGTCCCCTCCATGTCGCGGTTCACCTTCAGGCAGTCTCACTGTATCACAGATTGTTTGGTTGTGTATATCTAATACAGTTACCCATGTAGAATTTTTATGTTATTATATTCACTTAGGTTTAAGAGTAGAAAGTGTAAAGGCGCATCGGAAGTGTTTTTAATAGTGTGGGAAATGTTAATAACAGTGTTAGAAAGGTTTATAAGAGTGTGGGGGAGGGTTTATAAAACCTTAAAATATATAAAAATCTTAAATTAAATATAAGGTCACTACTTTGCGGATTTTCACACCCTAAATTGAGGACAGTTCTGGAACCTAACCCCTGCATTAGATGAGGGATCACTGTATATGCAACCAGATTTGTTACCTCATGAAAGAAGATCTGTAGCAAAACTACATTGTGTGTCATATTATGGGATTTCAACTTTCTTTTAGGATTATTTTTGGTTCATTAATAGAATGTCTTTAAAGTAAAATTGAGACAAACTATTAGAAAGTTTATATTTATTAATTATGCAGCTGACAGATTTTTTAAAACAATCTGTATTAAATGTAATTTTTCAACATATGTAAGTAAAAAGTAATAAAAATAATGGAAAGTCTAGTTGCCATATCTACTTAATAAAGCGATGTCATTTTTGTTTTATGATAAGGACGAAGCCAATGGCTACAAAAAGTGTACAGTTGCAAAGAAGTTATCCTTTGTGAGCACCGCCTGGCTGTTGCAGCTGGTTTGGTAGAGGAAATGAGAGCAGCTGTTTTGAAAGAGACTGGATTCACATGTTCGGCTGGCATTGCCCATAACAAGGTAATCATTATATATATATATATAATATATATATATCAGGGGGTCCTCACACTTTTTTTAAAACGCGGGGCTGATTCCTATGAAGACTTCACTTAATTGGTGTGCAACAAAAAAAGGAACAAACACGGGAAATTAACAACATTAAATATGAATGGCAATTTTACTCAACATAAACATATATAAGTATTTAAATGGGAAATATGTTCCTGCTCTTGGCTAATTTGTCACTGCTAGCTGTAACAAGTTATTCAAATTTGCATCAGTTAGACTAGATTTGGTCAGAGATTTTAGTTGTTTCTTTTGGAAAAGCTGTATGACCTGTTCATGGAAATGGAGAGTTTTCATTGTAATTTAAAACTCTTTTTGCAACATTTCCAGTAAATTCACACGTTTTGTTTGAGAATGCAAATTCTAGTTTTCCTGCTGGTTGTGGGGAGATGTGGTTTAGCGTCACAATTTGTCAATTTCATCAAATTCTTTTACACATTCATATTTCATTATCACACCTAACTGAACACAAGTCCTTTTGCCGATAGCAATGTAAACTTTTATCCAGAAACATATATATCAGGTGTACAATGAATCAAACACATGTATAGCGCAGCTCACTGTAAGTAGAAGAATATAGCACAATCTTCAACATCACATCACCATCATATTTTATGTCACAGTCTAATGGTGCCAAAAGCGTTCTTTAGCTGAACTAGCAAACAAGACACAGTGTACAACAATTGCTAGTGATTACCCATACTCGACATTTAGCCTTGTCCAGCTTCAAATCATTCACAATTTGGTGAACCTTTTCATAGATATCCTCTCTTGTGGTTGTTCCTCTGTATAGGGTTTGTCATTTCTCAGACCGGAAAACGACATAGCGTTACTATTTTTAGAATGACATCGGAAAAATATTTCTTAAAACATGGCAGCTAATAATGTGTTTCAGCATATCGTTCAACGATCCTTGTATCTAGAGTTACTGTTACATGTACTGTATGCGCCATGAAGTCCCATTTAACATAATATCAGTAAAAAAATATTGTGTAAAATATTTAGTAAAATATGGTTGTAAACAAGTTTTCAGAGTTTTTAATAGATTTCTGCCATTAAATGACAAGCCCTAATGACTCTAAAAGTGATGTCCAACTATTTATAGCTCAGTGGACTCACTATATAATAGGGCCTGGTAGTGAGAAGAGAAGGGCAGTAAGGTAGAAGCTACTGTAACGGTTCTTGAGGTGACTAAAATAAGTTTCAGAACAATTTAAAATTTAAATTTATTTAAAGTAAAATTAGTTACAGGTACAAATGATAAAACTACTTAACAAATAAATCATTTTAGTTTTTAGTTAAATGTATTTTAAATCCTTGAGCTTCCTAAAGTTTGCTTAAAATTCTCTTACCGGTGAGAGTAACAGTCTTCCTCTCTCCAAATACTCAATCCAAAGAATGTGACCCTTGAGACCTTATGTGTTTTGTTACTCTTAATATGTCCTAGTTTCAGACCCTATGGTAGCATAAACTCAGATAGTTTTCAAATATAGATTAGTTACATATTAAATTTTATGAACCTGGCCAATGTGACATTTTTGTGTAGGTAACTATTGTTTAATGTACCAAAATAAGTTTAAATATTATAAATTTTCCTTAGATGCTTGCCAAGTTGGCCTGTGGCAGAAATAAACCAAACAAACAGACTGTACTTCCACACTCATCAGTGCAATTCGTCTTCTCAGCTTTACCCTTACAGAAAATGTATGTCACTTTGCTCTCATTAAACTTAACTTCAATCCTCATAGTGTATAATTTAATGTTTAAAGGTAATACATGAGTTTCTAATTTTATTAAAGCTTTTAATGAAAATTATATTACAACAATATAAAAAGGGGTACAAAAAACTATTTTTTTCCCCTATAATTTAAAAAAACAAGCCATCCTCTTTTTGTCATTTCAAAAACTAAATTGACTCTCCCTCATCAGAGTCTCATATTTTGCTATGTAATTGTCCTTTTTTTTTTTTTTTTTTTTTTTTTTTTTTTTTTATTATATTCAAGGAAAAAAGCTTTTGTGATATTTTCAACCTGTTGGTACTCGTTAAAAAAATAGAAACATTTTTGTTGTGCAGCTTTTAATTAGAAAGATAAACATTGAGAAAGTTTTCCCATTCATAAATGTCTGAAATGTTTCTGTGAGACTCACCAATATATTTCAAATGGCAGTGCACTTTCAACTTGTGCCAAACTGCACCTTGTTTGTTTGGTACGTGTCTGTCATCCGGTCAAGAGCTTCGTATCAGTAACGCATCTGCAGATGTCGTCTGCTTAGAATGAGTGTCGCATGAGGTGCACACACTTGTTTCTTTTGAGATTGTTCTGGCAATCTTCCACACAACAATAGGGTCTTAAAATAGTGGGAACTGTTTGTAAATACAAAGTGTTTACTCCACCAGAATTCCTGTCCCAACCCCCCCCCCCCCCCAGAGATGTTGAGTCATCATTGTGTAGTTTTATCAAAACTCCTGCTTTGGTCAGCTACTTGCAGAAACAAAACAAGTCTGTTATTTTGCTCTCAGTGCACCCACCATACACCAGTTGTTGTGCCAACAGAAGTAACAAGCCAGGCATCATTCTGAAATAGGGAAACCAAAAGTGGCGCCATTTCCTAGATCTGATCAAGTGTACTACAGTGCTAAAAGACGGTCAAACACCAGGCATTGCAGATTAGCTGGATGTTTGTGGGGAGTAACCTATGTAATATGGAGAAGCCTGTTCCCTGAGCAGAACACAGGAATAAACCATATCCGGCAAATGTTTCTAAAAGAAGTGGCAGAGCCAGTTAAATGGAAAAATTGGATTAATTACATCAGCAAAGGAAAACTTGGAACCACCAAGAAAAAGGAGATGCAATTTTGCCCCACTAAGAAGGGCAGAATGCAAAAGCAGTAATGTGATGAATGGAAATGGAAACATAAGCACCTGTAGTATATTATAATAAGAGGGGTCAAATGACACACACACACACACACCCCTCCCCCACTTTTTAAAAAAAAAGATACGAACTAGTTTTGAGGAAAAAAATACATCAACAGATAAGAAAAGTAGGCCTGGTTTACTCATTCATATCATCAGCCAGCAAACTTTTTAGGTGTTTGCTAATTAGTTTCAGTTAAATTATTTTTTCCTTTTTTTTTTTTTATTCCAATGAATAAGTCGTCACCTCGGTGGTAAACTTGGAGCATCACTTTTAGACCTAGGTCTAAAATATATGGCTGACCTGACGAAATTCACAGAGCACGACTTACAGAAGCAATGTGGAAGTAAAACTGGGTAATTTTCAGGATTTTATTTATTGTGTTCTTTTTCTAATTTTTGTTTGTAAATGACTTATTTGCCATGTACCATGTTTTGGGCCAAATATTTACCAATACAAGTCCCGGTAGAGGATGTACTTGTTGAAGGGGTCTTAACCAGGGAATACCCAGAAAAGCAGGTTAATTGGCATTTTTATTAGCAGCAGCAGATGTTTTTTGTGGTGAATTAGTGCATTATCTATCCTGGTGCATGTTTTCTTTGTGTGTTCATTAAATTTTTAAAGAAGAATTAAACAACCCCTAAAAACACAGTTTTTTAAATTCTTTATAAAATGCAGAGCAAGGGGGGGTGGGGCCTGAAAATTAAACAAAATATTCATACAAGTAATGCACTTTATAAGAATCCCAATTAGTGAACCCCTTACAACTGCCCATTTTTTTCACACCCATGAACTATATTCTAATGACCCACTCACTTTTACAACATAGATTTATTTTTACCAACTATTTCAGAAAAGCAAAATAAAATAATACGCACCAAATGCACTCGCAATATTTTTGTAAGAATCTCATTTAGTGCAGTTATCAGGAGGTTTCCTTCATGTTCCCCTTGAAAAACAGGAAAAACTAATTTTTTAGGGTNAAGTATTTTTTTTTTTTTTTTTTTTTTTTTTTTTTTTTTTTGGGGGGGGGGGGGGGGGGGGCTGAAAATTTGATAGAATGTGTCTGCATCAAGTCTATTAGCCAAGTTTCAACTTGATAGCCGGACGGGAAGTGGGTCAATTAGCCGTCAGAAGATTTTTCCAGCCACAAACAAAAACGAAGTTAATACAAAAGATTTAAAAATTACCATAAATGAAAATGTTTTTATTTTATTACAGTTCTGTTTATCCGCTGGGGAGGGGAGTTGGTATGTAGGAAATGTTTTTGAAATCGACGGGGGTGGGGTGCGCTTGCTTTGCAGCATCAATTGTAAGAACCCCTGTGCTAGTTAATAAAGTTGTGTGCTATTTACATTTTAAAGTAATCTTGCAATTATAAGGTTGAATATTTTGTAAATATGAAACTGATGCTATGTCATAGAAAGGCCAAGATTCTTTGAACCATTGCAGACATCTTAGGTTAGTTAGTTTCCTCTTTTAGCTGGTGTAAGTTCTTAATGCCCTAAAGGAGCATGCCAAGAAGCAGCCGGGGCAGACACACAATTTTGTTTTCTCTCTGAGGTCCCATCACCCACTCATACACCACCCAGTATGATGCATTTGCTTCGAGCTGTCGTGTTTCAAAATAATTTAAATCTCTGTCTCTGCTAGCTCTTGGCTCTACAATGCCTGCAGAGGGATAGACTCTGAGCCTGTTTCCATGAGGGAATTACCGAAGTCTATTGGCTGCTCAAAAATTTTTAGTGGCAAACAAGCTCTAGATACCAAGGAAAAGGTTTGTTTATTCTGTCAAGTGAAGATACCGAGTTTTTATTTCTGTCGAGACTGCTCCAATGTTTAGTGATGTGAACAACTGCAGAACAGAATCATGTTCAGGGCAGTGAGATTCAATGGCATTTGTAGAAGTTTGTTTGTGTTGGGGTGGGGGGGTTACGGCAAACAAAATATTCATGGTTGATCTAGCTGGGGTGGAAGCATTATTTTAAGGACATGAAAACAATTTTTTTTATTTTTGGTCCAAAGCATTTTTATTTTATGGCCATTGGTTAACACCAAAAATTTGTGTGTGCATAAAACTGAAACTTTTTCCTGGAAACTAGGTGACATTTTGGCTGGGTGAGCTTGCCAAGGAAGTCAGTGAGAGGCTAAATAAGGATAAAGAATTGGTAAGTTATTTGTATCTATTGTATTTTTAAACATTCTGATGCTTTGTTCATACCTTTATCTGATTCCGGGGTATTGAATTTGATAAGAAATGTTGACAGTTTCCAACAGTTAGACATTAAAGGGAGATAGAATAGATACAATGATTGACTTGAATATTTTTTTTTAACATACCGTATATTTTTCTATAACATAACATCTCATCTCAATAAATGTTCTTAATCGAATTTTTATTATTTCAGAATAAAAGAACAGCTAAATCTCTTACAGTTTCTGTAAGTACCCAGAATGCAACAGGCTTTAAGTACACCTCTAATTCACGAGCTTGTGCTTTGGTGCGGTATGATGCAGAAAAAATTGCAGCGGATGCTTTTGCTTTGGTACAGCAATTCAGACTGAGTCCAGGACATAGTCCTGAGTGGTAAGTCTGATACTTTTATCAGTTTTGTGTAGGGTCCGTTATTTCTTAGGTTAATAACCATTGTGATTATATGGTTCAAAGAAGAACGCTCTCTAACATATTTAAATTAAATTTATTCATCTTACAACAATTTTAAAAAACCTGTAAAATATAAGGGGCACTCTCCTCTAGAAATATTTTGCTAAGTTTTATTTGACAAACCAGCTAATTTGGATATAGAAATATTAATGAATTATGATTAAAATTGCCAGATGATATTTAAATTAACCCACTTCAGCCAAGTCGCTTTTCGCTAGCAGCAAGTGACAGTGGTTTTGGCAGTAAAGTGAAGTCATGAAAGTAACTGATAAGGATCTTCAGATAATAATTAGAGGTCGTTTTTATAAACAACAATATGTTTGCTGAAATATTTAATGCGGCATACTAGGCCTTCCAAAAACTATATTGTTGTTTTGGTAAAATGCAAAAATTGTGAATGATTATCTCTATCAGTATAAGCCTTTTAAATTAATAATCGCAGTGTACAAATTTCAAACTAATACAATCATCACAGCAAATTTAAATGTCATTTTATTTGCTTATTTGCAAACTGAACTCAGAATGAATTCTTAAAAGCCCATCTTCAATTGACATATATTAAAATGCAACATGTAATGAACCCTCCATCTCCTCGGCTATAAACAATCATATTTTTATTATGATTATTCAAGTTAATAAATTTTTATACAAAAAAAAATTAAAACAGTGATTTTTAATTTTTTAAAAAATTTTCATTGTATGAGAGAGTTTACATCAAAAGTAGGTTAGGCATGAATGGGTTAAAGATAGCATAAGAATCTATTTTTATATATTCTTTTTTTTTTGAACATTTGCTCAGGGCTCCAGCCTTCAGCTACCTGGGTTTATCAGCAAGTAGATTTACACCAGAGGATAACACTAAAATCTCCACCATGTTTGCAAGCTCTTTGGGACAGAATCCTAATTTATCAACTTTTGATGTGCCAGGTATTGACAATGCGGATGATTTGCCAAGTCAATCGATATTTTCACATGAAGGAAAGAAAAGAAATACTATTTCTGAAACACCTTTAAAATATTCATCGCTAAATGAAACTGAAGCGACATCCAATAACTCTTTTTGCATTGCAAAGTCAAAAGTTTCAAATGACATACTAAAGAATAAAGGGGCAAAACAGATAGAAACATTCTTCAGCCAAATGAAGAAAAATAGCAACTTGTCGGAAACACCCCCTAAAGTGATGAAGGAAGTTATTTCTCCTGAATCAGATATGCAGGCTCAAGATTCACCTAAAGGTTTCTTTGCCAAGAAAATGAAAGCCATAAAAAATTCAAAAGGCAAGAAAACATCCAGTAACACTGATGACATCGTCACAGGGAGCCAGGTGACAAGCGATGACAGTGCCAGTTGCAGCAAATTAAACCAAAAGAAACTAAATTTTAAGTCCAAAGCTCCTTCAGGCAATACCGCACTTCATGGTGGGGAAGTTGATTTGCTCAGTGTTCATGTGGCTGAGCCTGCAATCATTTTGGAGATGACATCAACTTCTTCCGGCCAACATGGATCAACTGATCAGACTTCTACTAGTTCAACGAGCAGTGAAGATTTTACAACATGCAGCAAGTGTGGGGAAGTTGTATCTATGTGGGAATTGCCTGAACACAATGATTTTCATTTTGCTATGGATTTGCAAACAGAAAGTAACAAGTCAAGTGTGTGTGCAGGGAATATCAATGGCAGGACAAATCAAATAACCAAAAGAAAGAACAAAAGCCCCATCAAAGGGGCGAAGAAGAAGAAACAGACTATCGACAAAAATATACAACCCTTGACTGTGTTTTTCTCTAAAACGTAATTTTTATCAGAATGTTGCTCTGTGTATTTTAAAAGTTTGTTTATGCATTTCGATATTTTAAAATGTATACAAGTGGGTTTTTTTATACATCACTTCAATTGTATAGGTAAAATTATGTTATTTATTTAGACTTCTGTTTATTTATGTCTATTAAAAATTAAATATGTAAAAATTCCAGTTTGAAAAAAAAAAGTGGAATTAAAATTTAACAGAAAATATGAAGAAACTCTTGACTATTTATAATAGCAAACTGTTATATATGAATTTTAAAGGAGTAATTTGAAACTGATTACATTAGTTTCAAAAGAGATAATGACGTATCACATTACTTAATTCTGAAAATGACAGAGATGTCACAACATGAAAACTGAGTGCATTTTAACAGCATAGCAAATTAATTTGTTTTTTAAACAAAAAATACTGTTTTATAACAAGGTTTAGAATTTCAAACATGTGAAATGTCACCAGAGACATTTTAAGAAATGCTAAATTAGAAATAATTTTGAAAATCAAAATTAATTAATATTTATATTTAAGAAGTTGCAGAAACTTACAATGAAAATATTATTTTTAATAAAATATTAACATGAAATAAAAAGACAGAACAATTTAAAATATTTTAATCCTTGATAAATCCCTAACTGTTTCAGAGATTTTTACAGACAGAATGTAAATATAATTTTCAAGATAACAATTCATCAAGATTTCAGTCCAGCATTTTCGTTCTTGTCTAACTCTTAGCAAAATTAAGCAAAATTCAATAACTATACGAATTAATTACAGTTAAAGTTTTCTATGAACGTTCTCCAACATATAGCTATCAAAATCCAATTTAAAATTGCTATTTTAATAATATCATTTTATATCTTACTAGCTAATAATGTACCCAGTGTTGAACCGGTTGCAAATCAGAAGCACTGCTAAAGCTTTATCAGTTTACATTGAAATTAAGGGCACTATGAATTTTGATAAAGAATCAATCAATCTAACTTTTTAAATTCTTAAAAAAACTTTAAAAAAAAATATCAGATCTATAATAATTATTGTAAACATTGAAATTTGTGCCCCACCATTTGATGAAAAAAATATCTAAAAAGACATGCCATTAAATTCAAACATAAGGTCCACAAGTTCCAAAGCCAGTTAGTAATTAAATTGAACTGAGTTAAGGGCCCTGTTCTAATAAGGAAACCAAGTCAGTAAGGTTACTTATCCAGGCTATATCTCTGACATTTTTTATTTGATTTAATGGGACAAATTGCAAAATTACATTTCTTTCATTATCAAACTACGTACAATAATGACTTAGCTCAAATTTATTCAACATTTTTTTTTAAAATTTGGTATCAAACTTTCTAGAAATTCTAGACCATTTTTTAAAACGCTATAGAAACTTGTGAAAAATGACTTCTGCATAATCATTGTTTCAAAAACAAAAGAAATAAAAAAGCTATAACTAGCCATTATTCATTTAATTTTAGATGGAAAGTGGATGCCTTTTTCCATGATGATAAATTTTTAAGTTGTCCAATTGTGAAGTGAAGTATTATTGGTTTCAACTCGCCTGATTGATATTGGTATAAGGAATATTAAGAGTATGCCTACCAAGTTCATGTAGAAGCATATATTGTAACATAAGACATGTCATTTTTAAAATTACAAGGATTTATATGAATTTTACATTATTATACATTTCACTTTTTCTGGATCTGCTCCCATGACATCAGTATATATATTTAAAAAAATATTGGCTCCACAGTGAAGAGGTTAAAAATCAGTGCTTCATCAAATTCAAGTTAAAAATATTTCCACCTGATTTGCACTCATGTTGAGCTCTGTCTATAGTTTGCTGTTTCCAATACTTTCTTGCCACACATTGCACATATGCCTGTAGTATAGAAATTAATTTGAAAAAAAAGAAGACCTTTTTGTGTCTTTTCTGAATGAAAGATAAACCATATTAAACAGCTATTAGAGGTATTAGTTGGTCATTTTAACAGATTGGAAAATTTCATCACTTCGTTTTACTAATTCTTTTAAATATTAGGTTTAGTTCCACAGAAATGATAAATGAATCTATATTTATTTAGTTAACAATTCCAATCAGAAAATTTAAAAATTCAATTTCATATACAATGAAATGCCTCAGTTGACATGATTTATTTTATTTTTTCCATTCACTTACCCTTTTTATAAGCACAACCTGGAGAAGAAAGAAAATTTAAAATATTAATTGACAATATACTTATTGAAATATATACAACATAAGGACATAAAGAGATTAAATATTTTTTTTTTTTAAGATATGCAACATTGTATTTACCTTGGCAATAATGCGAGCCTGGTTGATGGACACTTGTTTTACAAATCCGACATTTCTCAAAGCTTGTCTGATATGGATTAAATCTGTTTAAATTTAAAAAAAAATTCAAGTCAAACACTAATTTTCTTACAATACATATCTATTTTTTATCAATGGGTTGAGTAGTGGAATTTGACTTTCTGCATAAACCGGTATTTGAGGAGTTAATTGGACATTCTAAATAAATATAACCGATTGTTTGAGGAGTGGAATTGGACACTATATAACTGAGTGTTTGAGGAGGGGATCTTCATAAATGCTGACATATGCAAAAATTTACAGTAATAGAATCTTCACATATTGCTGTTATAAGTGACACGAAAAAACACCAAACCATATAGTTATAGTAGCTGGCCCCATACATAAAGTGATAAATGCTTCTCTACAACAAGCCAATTTGGAAGTTCAATGCTGATGTAATTTTTCGGTAGCTTTTCATTGTGATATCAGTGGTTTTGATTTATATGGCTTGAATTTTTTTTCCAAATTAACTTTCACAATGTAATTTGGCATTAACTATGTACTCAATGTTTTAGAATAAAATTATTTTTTTGAGAAAAATATAACAATCTATTCCTGTTTCAAATAAAAGAATTAGTTTTAATACCGGTACTTAAAAAAATTGACTTATTTATTGGGATGCCTTGACATTAATGCTTTGACTTTTTTATTTATTTTTAAAACATTAAAAATCTTAATGATGAGACGTGTTAAAGATGAACATTTTTAACAAGTAAAAAAAAAAAGTTAAGCTTTTAGTAATTAAATAAAAATATTCCAAATACATAAAAGCCATAAATGACTTCTCTTTGTAGTTTTGTTTTCAAGAGGACCGTAAAATATCCTAAACTGTACATGATAAAAACATGGAATTTATTTTACTTAACACGGATGCCTAAGCAAAATGTAACCTGGAAAAAATTGATATACTCACCGATTTTTCTTTGTCGTTAGTGCTTTATTTTCACCTACTTTGCGACCTCCGCCCTCTACACATCATAAAGATAAATTAAAAAAAAAAAAGATTTTATTTATGCATGTAATTTTCAAAGAGTCTTACAAAAGGTGCCATTATTTATTCAAATGAAGAAAGTTATAATTCCAAATTGAAAATTTTAAGTTACTGCATTTGTTTAGAAATTCAAGCTATTTCATTTTTCCTCAGATATATCACATTATTAATAAATATATGATGCCTCTTGTAAATATTTCATTTCTTTTTTTAAAAATACCATTTAGATACAATTTATTAAAAAATGACCTGCTTTAAGTAGCCAAACCAAATCTTTATACCTTTTCTACAAAATAGTATTTTTTCTCTTTTTTGTAACTGTAAATTTGGGAAAAACCTAATGAAATACTTAAGTTTTGCATAAATACAAAATGATAATTATGATCCTAATATACTAATTTTTTTCTCATTCAAATGAACAACTGTTTTGACTTTTTAAAAATTAATTCATTGATGAAGTAGTTTAAACAAATAAATAGTTTCAAAATAAAATTATAAAACAACATTACTATTTAAATACAACTAGAAGTAAAGGTAATTATGTAACCCATGCATGGTCAAGGGACTTCTCCCTCCCCAATTAAAGTGACAGTAAAGATATATTTTAATCTTAAAAAAGCACCTGGTGTACGTATTCACAATATTTTTTAACAGGAAAAAAAAAAGGATTTTCCTTTAGTTAGAATTATAAAGATTCCAGGGGCAAAACTAAGCTGGGGCTAAAAGCATACCCTTAAAGGGTAATTCACTACCAGTATTGACATATTTTAAGGTTCTACTATCTTAAGACAATTTTGATGCCTCCTAATTTTGGTGGCAGGGGTGACTGACCCTCTCGCCCCCATCTATGCATTATTTTGCCCAGGGCCCCTGCTCCTTTAAAGACAGCCCTGCCTGTATCCCAGTGGAACAAAAATAAGAATTTTACAAAAATCTCAAAACTTCAAATATAAAAGATCAATCTGCAATTCAATAATTTGATGAAATTCAGAAAAAAAAAGAGAAGACAGTTGTAATTTTATTTTATGTGATCAATACGCTAATTGAACAGCCTTTACTTGTAAATTCATTGCAATCTTTGGCCATACTTACATTGTGGCATGATATTTTCAAAAATCAAAGATGTGAAATCCAGTTATTGTTATAGCCTTATCTGATGAGAACTTGCAATAATAGGGAGTGCTAACTTTGAGCCTTAACTAAATCTCATTACGGCAGGAAAACATCAGTTTCATGCTTCTCACTGATGTTAAAAAATTGTTTGTTCAATATATATGTTTTCCATCTTATAATTATAATATTTCAATTGGAATCTCAATTAATCAATGTAATCTGATTTAGAAACGCTTATATTTCTTTCTTTCCATTACATTAGGACAAGGAAATAAAAATGTGTAGCACAATCATGTTTCAAATTTGTGAGATTTTCTGATCACTTATAGGCCACTAATCTTCTATCTTCCCCCACTCCCGAGATCTTCTTACTGGCCCTTGTCAAAAATAGTTTGCAGATTACAATTTATTACCTTCTGATCAACGTATTTCAGTATGTGGTTTGATAAAAATGAATTATTAATACTATTTAACCATTGATTGATTTGTAAGATTAAAAAAAAAGGTTTCTATGAGAACAAACCTGTAGTGTTGCGTGCTCCAGCCTTCCATGGATCAGGAGTAATAACTTTACCCAGTTTACTTTGGCCTGCAATTTAATTAAGATTAACATTCTTATAATGATCCAAATAAATGGAAATGTTTTTTATTACTTTGTACATATTCAATTTCAGTACATAAATAAATACATAATTAAACCAAGACATTTTACAATTTACACACAAGACATTTAGAGTATTTCTCTTGCATAGAAATCAGCCATTTTATACCATAAAACTTAACCATTTTATACCATAAAACTTAACTCCCTTATTGACAATAATGACTTAACTAGAGATCATTTAGATTTTGTAGCCTCTGGGGGAGCAGCACCTTGGCAAATTCTGAGAACAAAATAATTTTTATATCTGTCGGTTTCTAGCTTTAAGAGAAAGAATTTTCCCTGATCGAGCTGATCTTAAGTATCTCAGAGTATCTGTGATGAAGAGTGTGGGATTTACAAATGTTTTAAGTTTTACAACAGCCTTTTTCTTCAAATTGTCAGTTCATCAAGACAAGGTTATTTAGCTTGTGTGATATTAATAACTTTATTGACCACTCTTTTTAATCTGTGTTTTATGTTATGAAATCCCAAGTAGCAGGTAATAATTAAGTTCAGTAGGCTTCCAACTATTTTACCATGGAATATCTTATAATTTAATTTATATTTTGCTTCTGGTTTGGCTGCTTCCTTTTCATAATTAAACCTCCTCTACTAAACATATTTTTTATTAAAGTACTGAGTAAAAAAAACAACTGTGAAGCAGTGAGCGCCACGCGTGATGGTTAAACTCAGATTTTTTTGGAGGCGACTGTTAATCAATAAAGAGCCACGGGTATGGTGTAGGATTGTCTAGAAAAAGAGAAGTTAACTTTCTTTTTGTAACACTTGGAACCACACGGGGTAAAAAACTTATTAGGTTAATAATTTGTTTGTTTATGTCGAAATTGTATTATTTTTTTTAAGATAGAAAAGTATTTGGTTGAATTTTTTTATATAGAATTTGGCAGTGTTCATGCCATGTTAGCTTAATAATGGTTACACCTAGGTACTTGTATGTCTCTGTTTACTCTATAGTAGTATATACTGAGATTTTTTGTGATATCCTCAATTGGGTTATTCCCCCTACGTAAATCGACAATGATTTCTTATTTTTTGTTGAGAAATTTAACTGAAGAAAATTTTCATCGCACCAACTGATAAAGCTTGTAACTTAGTTGCAGTATAAATTATAAACTTTCCCATTCTGATATTAAGCCAGTGTTGGTGGTATCACCACCAACTTAAATGAGCAAAGTTTTACTGGTATCATGTCCTGAAATAATTCATCAAAACAACGCCAATGAATCCAGAGGGTAAATATTTTTCAACAGACAAAAAATCATAATATATAGAAAAGGGGGGGGGGGTGTTGTGGTGAGGAAGAAGGACGAATCAGAAGATTTTACTAAGGATAAGGCAATGCTATACAATAATATTATTAATATATAAGTATAAGGCAAAATTCTGACACTAAAAATGCTTTGAAAACTTTTTTCTAATTAACTTAATTATTAAGTAAATTAAGATAGAAAAATAAACTTGGTATCAAATTTATCAATGGAAAGGAAATACGGAGTCCCTCCTACTCCTAGTCATTCTAATTATATAAGTTTCATTAATAAATAAGTATTAACTTTAATTTTAACCATTGAAAATTATAAGTATTATTTAAGTATAAGATACGATAAGTGATACCACTTAAACTTATTAATTTAATATTATTAATAAGAGATGGTCTCTGATAGTGATTGTAACTATGAATAATCTACACTCTATTACTTACTACTTAGAATACTACTTAACTACTACTGACTACTAACTTATCGAACTATTATTAAGTCTAAGTCTATTGAATTCTATTGTCTGAATTGTCTGACTAATACTAATTGAACTAATTGAGCTATTGACAAGAGATTATTGCTACTCTTACTCTACGTCTACGACTTTAAAAAAAAAGGAGGCTGTTAAATAATATTAAATTTATAGGATTAGGCCTAAATATTTTATTTACATTTTTCGCAAACCATCGTTCATTAAATCCTTTACAATATATTGTTTTGCTGTCTCTTTCTGAGATCAAGGCCGTGGATTACTTGCTCATCATCAGCTATAAACAAAAACAAAGCCAACTTCCGTTTTCAGTTATCCTCCTTGATATGATTAATGTCATGATATTCAACTTCGTCTTATTAAATATAATAATTTTAAATTATTTTTTTCCCCTTCTGTTTACAAAGTGTATTGAAATTTACCAGGCTACGTTTGCTATTAAAAAATATATATATTTCTGCTTATCACCTATATTATGACATTATGAGAACAATACAGGGGTGCCACTCACTGACAGCTGTGAACCCTGAAATCCCTTTCTAAAAATTTCTTGAAACCTGAAACTTCATTTACAAATTTTTCAATCCCTGAAACTTAATGAAACTCAAAATTCCTGATTATCGCAATGCGGCATTTTGTTGATTAATATAAAAACAAGCATGAAATTATCAAATAAAACATTGAGATACATCACAAATGAACACAATTAAGCAATTAAGGTGTATACATGTAAACATTTATTAGTATTTATTAAATTTACAGCAATAGCAATTTTTCAATTTACTTAGACTTGAAAAGTCAACTTTTGCAATGAGTTATCTGGGCATTTTAGAACAAAAGTATAGCTACCACAAGTGAAAAGTATCTTTTCATATATGGAGTTAATGTTGTCTTCTTTATGATGAAAATGGATAGTTTGAATAAACACACTTTAGTGTCTATACTATCTCCCAAGTGTGAAAGTTTCATAGTTTGACACATAAATTTCATAAATTGAGAAGTTACAAAAGTGGACACCTAAGATGGGTGATAACGATGATCGACTCAGACATTTTGCCCTTGAATACATGATATCAATATTTCCAGCATAGTATTCATTGATGGCTTATTCAATCATGATTGCCAATTGCTGTACTGTAACTGTAATGACCATCAGTTCTTTAAAGTTAAAGGAACTGTTAACTGTTGGGCATTACATATTTTTATTGAGCCTAGATCCT